ACCCATAATAATAAGTAAAAACATAATTATTATTAATAATTAATAATAAGAACAAATAACTAGGAAATAAAAATAAACATAATTAATAATAACCCCCTCCAAATAATTAATAAAAATGTAAAACCAAAGAAGCAGGTGTTTAACAAAATCTCAGCAGTAAAATTGTAAAGAAAAGTAAATCAAGGAGTGACGGCACAGTTGAAGGATTTACTCCTCTAAGTTGTAAAAAAATTACACAACTCATTACATAAAAGCAGTACAACATTTTCAGGCATTCTTAAAATGTCTGTGATAACAAGGGAACGTTATCAAGGATACAGGGTAGACTCTACTGAGTCTTTAGTAGATCCTGTTTACAGCCAGGAGCACCACAAGGAATGCTTTGGGATAGCTGAGTTTTTCCTAAAATAATGAATCTAATGTAGCTGACAGTGTTGGGCAATGCCTCTGCAGCCTGACATTTCCTATACATCTGTGTGCTGCACTTTTAAAAATGGCATTTCCACTCACTCTCAAATCCAAGATGAATGAAATCCATCAAGAACTGAATGTTCTCAACAGTTCCAAAAAAAGCCACCATCCATCATTATTGTAATTCAGCAGAGATTGAAACACTCAGTAATTGTCTCTCAGCCTGGATACACGAGGATTTCCTGGGGCTGAACAATGGGCCTGGAGTACAGGAGACTCAGGAATCCATCCCCTCCACTTTCCAGTTTGGATGAAGCTTTATGGAATACAGTAAAGAAGAGAACCATGCAGTAGAGCTGGGGGAAAGCAGGAGGAGGAGGGAAGTAGAGTTTGGAGAGGAAGAATAGAAGTCACAAAGCTGGTTGTGGATTAAAGATAAATGTGAAATAGATGATTAATAAACTGGAATAAGAGGATGGATAGGGGAGAGAAAGAGAAATGTAGTGAAGCTTGGGAAGTTATGTCTGATCTGGTAGCCCAGGAGAATAAGGAAGTTCTAGAGAAGACAGCAGAGTCGGAGTGACACAGATCAAACAAGGAGGTGGAGCAAGGGAAGTGGGATTGGTTACTCAGAAATGCTACAGGCAAGAAAGAATCCCAGCAGGATCCAGGACACAAAGGGATTCAGATGAGGGAGTTCTCAGGGAGAGAACTCTCAGACTATAACTTGTATCCTGTCCCCCCCCCCAAAAATGGATGAACACCATGAGCAGGGAAAAGTCAGGACCTGGAATTTAAAGGAGAAGGGACAAAAAAAGGAAAAGGAACAGCAAAAGAACCTGTCACTATTAGAAAATGGGTGAAATGGAATTGGGGTCTCTGAAGCACCTCAAGAGCAGATCCCTGGGGGATCTGCGGGAGCACCCCAGGGGGTCCAGAGGTGCCAGAGCCCTTGGTACACAAAGGGAAGGACACCAAACCATACAAGGAATCTCTTAACAGATTAGTTAATGAGTATCTAAAGCCACAAAGTTTCACCATTTATCTCTAACAATCTTCCTGAAAAACGAGGCAAAGTGTTAAAGCCCAGAGTTTCTCTCCCATCCCACTAAAGTTATCCCAGCTGGGAACGAGAAAAACTCACAGCTGGAACTGCCCCAGGATTTTGGGTACAGTTACATTCCAATTCCAACCTGAAACAGCCAAAATCCCACCCAAAGACACTGCGAGAACACCAATAATCCTCTTTCTGAATGTGCACATCCAGCCGTCAGGATGGCTGGGTTTCCCTTGGTTTGCCCTAGCAAGGATTGAAGACTCAGCGAGACAAAAACCCAACAAAAACAACAAACAAACAAACAAAATAATGTGATAGCTTTTTTCCCCTCTAAATAAAAATTCCAAGTACCTTTGGGCATCACAAATAATTGACTGAGTTCTTGTTTGATTATTCTCCAATCCTTTTTCATCATGGCAAAACCAAACTCATTATGTTACATAATGAACATACAAAACAGCAACAACAATGACATCGGGTCTATAAATCCAATCAAACTGACACAACCATCACCAATGTTAACACTCAAGCTCTGTATTGCATCAGAAAGGATCCCGAAAGCCTTAGGCTCAGCAGAATTTAATTGCAAGCAAAGACATAAAAACTAACCTAGTTTTTTTGTTTGTGGATACTTCACATTGCTGAAACTTAGTCTTCAGATTATATACACGTGATTAATGTGTATTATTTGTATATCAGTGGTTACCTGGCCATTTTGCACAGAAATCTCTGCAAGGAATGCATAAATGTGTATATAAATTCGAGTTTTATGGCCATAATCCACAAACTGCCACAGTTCTCAAGGTGATCTAGACAGGAGACGTTCCTTAGGCACAACCCCGGGACAAATGGGCATTTCCCGGGAGGATCACACGTGTAACCACACGCCCAAAATTACCACCGACTCCCCGCAATTCCTGCTAAGAACTCAAACTCTTTGGGGTGCGCCTGAGAACCCCGGGGTGGGGTCACAGAGCCCCCCGAGCGCTCCCGCACGCGGCTGGGCGGGACCCCCGGAGGCCGTGGGGGCGGCCTGGGCCGGGATCCGCGGGGGAGGCGGGCGGGGATCCGCCGGGATCCCTCGGGAGCGGCGACGGCCCGAGCAGGGATCCCCCGGGATGCCCAGAGGCGGGAGCGGTGGCGACCCGGCCCGAGCTTCCCCGGGATCCGCCGGGAGCGGGGGCGGCCCGGGCCGGGCTGGGCGGCGCAGGCGGGCGGAGGCGGCGCTGGGCCGCGGGGAGGGCGCGGGGGGGGGGACAGAGGGCCCGGGCCGCACTCACTCGGGGGGAAAGAGGCGCAGCTCCTCGATCTTGCCCAGGAAGCCGAAGAGGGTCCGCATCTGCTCCGAGCTGGCGCTGGGCGAGACGTTGGTGACCTGGATCACGTCGGTGCCGCTGCTGGAGGCCATCGCGCCGCCGCCCGCTCCGCCGGTGCTGCGGGGACACGGCGGGGCGGGTGAGGCGCGGCGCAGACTCCCGTTCCCCCGGCGCGGCCCCCTCAGCCCGCGGCCCGTCCCGCTCCCCCCGCTCCCGCTGCCGGCCCGGCCCGGCCCCGCTCCCTCACCAGCCTGCCCGGCCCGCAGTGTCCCACAGTGCACCGCGCCGCGCCTGCGCGCCACCACACCGCACGCGGCCCCGCGCCTGCGCCGCGCCGACACCGACGCGCGCACACACCCGCGCGCGCGGGGGCGGCGCGTGCGCAGAATTGGCGCTCCCCCCCCCACAGGCTGCCGCCCGCCCCGAGCGCGCGCGTGGGGAACGAGCTGCGCGTGCGCGCGGTGGCGTGGGGAGGGCGTGGGGGAGGGGCACCAGCGGCCCCGCGCGCGGGAAACCGCGTGGGAAGGGCCGTGAGGGGGCGGTGAGGGCTTAGGGGGAACCGTGAGGGCTCTGGGGGTACTGAGGGGGCTGTGAGGGATCTGAGAGGCTGTCAGGGGTTGTGGGGAACCGTGAGGGTTCTGGTGGGTTGCGAGGGGTCTGGGGGGCTGTGAAGCAGCTGAGGGGCCCGTGAGGGATGTGAGGGAGCCATGAGGGCCCTAAGGGACTGTGAGGGGTTGAAGGGATCATGAGGAGCCATCAGGGCCTGTGAGGGCTCTGAGGAGCCCTGAAGAGACATGAGGCAGCCGTGAAGGGTCTGAGGGGCTGTCCAGCGTCGGTGGGACTGTGAGGGTTCTGAAGGACCATGCCGGACCATGAGGGGCTCCGAGGGATTATGGGGGGTCGTTATTTCCTCCTTCTCATTTCATAAACTAAACTCACAAAATTTACTGTCAAAGCAGTGTGAGGTTGGGGTGGGAATTTTTCTTTAATATTAGGAAAAAAACTACTTGCAGGTAGTACAGTACAAAGCATGCTATTTCCTGATGACTTTGCTGCTTTTCTGTAAATGTGTTTCCCCATAAAGTTACTGCATGTAAACAACTTAAAACAAGCCTTATTTATTAATGAAGCTGAAATTCTACCACATCTGATTCATAACACAGAAGACATTCACTGTCCTCCCTTACCAGATAACTACATTTCCACTTATGAAATACCACAGATGCAATATCCCGTACTGAATTGCCACAAATGTACTTCAAATTTTAATTTGTCAGCAATATCCTATGTTGAATTTACACTAATTTCCAAGAGCACAATGAAACTTAAATGAGAGGAGACCAACCCACACTTTTTATCAGGGGCCCTGAGGGACAGAGCTATGGCCCTCTGAAGTGTATATATCCACACATGTACATCTGTATATCTATGTGTATATATTTCTATATATACATGTATCTGTCTGTATCTAGTTGTGTATATACGTACAAAAGCCATTTTTAAGCACCACCGCTTTTTTTTTTCAATACTCAGTTGCTCCACTGAAAGAGCAGAAAAAAAAAAAGGGGGGGAATTAAAGAACATTGGTAAAAATTAATGAGGCCGAGATCCTTGGTTGAGAGCAAATGCCTGAAGTGTGAGTTTCCTGATTCACATACTTAACAAACGCATTTAAACCCTAACTAATTACTTTTAATTTCAATGGAACCACTCATGGCAGCATTTTTCAAAGAGGGGAGTGTTTGTTCTCATGTTTACATGACACAGGGAGTCACACATAACACAGGGAGTGTTAATCTCATGTACTGGTGCTCAGTGTTTGTCATCTGGAACATTTTTATGTATCACAGTTGGACAGGGCTTGGAGCAACGTGGGCTGGTGGAAGGTGTCCCAGCCTACGGCAGGGGGTGGAACGGGATGGGCTTCGAGATCCTTTCGAACCCAATCCATGCTGGGATTCTATCGCGTTTGGGTGTCAAAGCGCCTCTGCTGTTCCCATGTGTCCGTGTCGATCGCCCCGGGTTACCGGTCCGGTTCACAGCCGTGCCCTCCCGCGGCCGTGCCGGGGCTCCATTTCAGCTCCGCGGGGCGGGAAATGGCGGCGGAGCTGGGGCTGGGCTGGGGCTGGGCCGGGCCCGCCCGAGGGGCCCGCTCGGCCCCGCCTGCGCGGCGGGCGGACCCAGCCCCGCTCTGGCCCCGCGCGGGGCTCTGGGCGATGGCGGCGGCGCGGCGGGCGCGGCCCGGAGGGCCCCGCGCGGGGCCGGGGTTCGGGCGGGCGGCCGAGCCGGAGCCCCCGGTGCCGCAGGGGCTGCTGCGGGCGGCGCGGCGAAGCGGGCAGCTCAACCTGGCGGGACGCGGCCTCCGCGACGGTGTGTGAGCCGGGCCGCGCCGTCCGACCCCCGCACCACCGGAGGGGCTGCCGGGGAGCCCCAGCACCGCCGAGAGCGGCAGGGCGGGGGCGGCACACGGGGAACGGCAGCGACCGGTGTTCTGCCATCTGTCTGCAAGGAACTCACTTTTGTCTCTTTCTGGCACATTTCCATCAGCATGTTGTTGTCTCCTCTGGGAACATGTCTCTAGAACACCACTGACTATACAGATGTGTATATACATCGCTATCTGTCTAACTATCCATCCATCTATGTGTGTGTATATATCCACACATGTACATCTGTATATCTATGTGTATGTATTTCTATGTATACATGTATCTGTCTCTGTATCTAGTTGTGTATATACATACAAACATATCCGTCTCTATATATATCGTACCCTATGATAGGAGGATTGGAACTGGATGACCATTAAGGTCCCTTCCAACCCAAACCACTCTATGATTCTATATAGGAGGATTTTGAGAATAATTCCCTGAACAATCCAGCTGACTTGCGTATGTTTGTGTGGCAGTGCCTCCACATGTGTGGCGGATCAACGTGGACACTCCGGAGGAGGCCCAGCAGAACCTGTCCTTTGGAGCTGCAGATCGCTGGTGGGAGCAGACCGACCTCACCAAGCTCATCCTTGCCTCCAACAAGCTGCAGAGCCTCTCGGAGGATGTGCAGCTGCTGCCTGCCCTCACCGTGCTGGATGTGAGTACAAGGAGGCCTTGGTCAGACACTACTTCCATGGAGGAAGTGGGAAAATGTTGTCTTAGACTTTTGGTTTCCATTTCCCTGCAGGAGTGGAGCTGGTGTGTTCTTTTCACAGGCAGGTAGGGATAGGACAAAGGGGAATGGCCTTATGCTGAATGAGGGCAGGGTTAGATGAGATATTGGGAAGAAATCCTTCCCTGTGATGGTGGAGTGGCTCTGGCACAGGTTGCCCAGAGAAGCTGTGGCTGTCCCATCCCTGGAAGTGTCCAAGGCCAAGTTGGACGGGGCTTGGAGCAACCTGGGCTAGTGGAAGGTGTCCCTGCCAGGGCAGGGGGTGGAACGGGATGGGCTTTACGATCCTTTCCAACCCAAACCAATTTTGGGCTCCATGATGTTTGGAATACAGGTGAGCACAGTACCAGCTCCTGAACCAGCACAGTGCTAGCAGAGCTGCCTCTGACTGGGTGTCCATGAACCCACTGCCTTTAAAAAATACATTTATTTATTGCTTATATTATATATTATTTTGTAATTCTTTGATTCTCAGGATAAAGAAAAAACTGTTACAGGTCACTCTGATAATGTCTCAGTTCATACACTTGTAGAGTGTAATCATAGAATCATGAATGTCCTGAGCTGGAAGGGACCCACACGGATCAAGTCCAGCTCCAGGGTCCTGTGGAAAGATCTGGGAACTTCTGTTATGGACACTTTAGGAAGAGCTGTTACTGGGGGTGCAACCCCCTTTACTGCACTCCCCTTCATCTCTAGTCTCCGGGCATTGATGGCAGTTAAGGAGAATTTTGCAGTTCCATGTGTACAGAATTTCTGTGTGGATCAGATTGGCTTTTTTCTGGGAAAAAACCCTACAAGGCACAAATTAGTAACTGTATTCTAAAACCTCTGTTTTCTAGGTGCATGATAATCAACTGACATCACTTCCTTCTGCTTTAGGACAACTAGAAAATCTCCAGAAACTTGATGTCAGGTAAGGATGTGTTACACAACAAACAAGAGGAATATTGCACTGACTTTCATGTGTGAATGAGAGATGCTGGAAAGTTCAGAATCTTGTGTTCACTGGGGTAATTTTGTAAATTTGTGCTCCAGGAGAGGTTATGCTGCCACTGTGTGAACTGCATAAACAAAACAATTCATATCCAGATGGAATACTGTAAATTCAGATTAGGATTAAAACTATTCTTGAACAAATAAATGAAGAGAATTAATTTTTCTCAGGAAACGAATCTGTTGTAGAGGCCTGAGACAGGTTTCCTTACAGGTGGCCGTGTCCTGACCAGCAAGATGTGTATAGGCTGTGGACACGAGTGTTCTGTGTGCATCCTATTCCTGAAAACTCCTTAGTGATTGTTTTTCTCTTTGTGTCCCATGTTTTCCCACCAGCCACAACAAGCTGCAGAGCCTCCCTGAGGAGCTGCTGCAGCTGCCCCGGCTGAGGAGCCTCCTGCTGCAGCACAACGAGCTGAGCCACCTCCCCGAGGGTCTGGGGCAGCTCCTCAGCTTGGAGGAATTGGTAAATCAGCTTTTCCAACCATATTTCTTTGTGCAGAAAGATTTATCCATGTTTTGCTACAGCTAATTAAAAATTGCTGGCTTCGATGGCAGAATACTCACATATTCCAGTGAGCATTCTAAAGTCAGTTATTACATGGTGGGTTTTTTGGTTGTTCTTGGTTTGACAAATATTTTAGGAAAACTCAAATCCCTTGTGATCTGTCAGTCATGGGAGACTTGTTTCTTCTGTCACACTTCTGCCAGGGAGATCCTAAATATGTCAGCTAGCTAATTTTAATGTTCTACCAGTAATTAACTTTGCACTAGCAGCACCCATGGGATAGTTTAAACATCTCTGTCTTAATCTCTCTCACTTTTTTTTCAATCCGCAGGATGTGTCCAACAACCACCTCACAGACATTCCAACAAGTTTTGCTTTGCTCGTTAACTTGGTGCGGCTCAATTTGGCCTGTAATCAGCTCAAGGACCTGCCTGAAGATCTCAGTGCCATGAAAAGTAACTCACTTTCCTCACACCATTAAATGCCAAACAGCTAGTTCTGTGTTTATGTTCATATTAGTGCATGTTAGTCAGGTTTTAAAATATATCCCTAAAGTTAATGCACTCCCAAGAGAATCAGGTCAGAATTATTAGTTCTAAATTCTGTTTGGCAAAATGTCGTTGCATTTATTTTAAAACCCAGGATAATTATGCTTCTGTGGAAAGCTATTTTTATTTTCTCCTGTTTCTGTTTGTCATTGCACATTTACTTTCACAGGCTTGAGACAGCTGGATTGTACCAAAAACTACCTGGAAACTGTACCTTCTAAATTAGCAACTATGGCATCGCTGGAGCAGCTTTACCTGAGGAAAAATAAACTGCGTTCCTTGCCAGAGTTTCCCTCCTGCAAATTACTGAAGGTGAGCTTGAAATGGCTGCAATGCGGTAAACTGTTAAATAATGACAGTTACTTTAAACACAAGTTTTTGTGAGGTGCTGTGATCAAAAATTAATGGTTGTGTGTTTAGAACTCTTATTTAGTACACCCCCCTTTGCAATTTCTCTTGCTGTCCTCAGTATTCAACCTTAAGGTCATTTGGAAGACAAATGCGCAGCAGAACTTTCAGATTTGCAAAATAAATATTTAGAAGAGGAATGACTTAAAACTGGATCTAGTGTTGCCTATTTTTTCTCAGTGGGAACATTTTCTGGTTAAACTAACATTATTCATTATAATATTTTCTTTGTAATTACAGAAAAAATATACTGGTTTTCCTTTTGGCATAATCAGGGATTCCTGGTATTTTGTAGCATTAATTTCTGATATATTTAAAGTTGACAATCACCTGTCTCAGAACATCAGAAATTTGTTACTCAACTGATAGGGAAATGGTTGGGCCAAGGGAATGTCGCTATTGCTGTAGTGTTTCCATTGACCAGCTCTGAAGTCAGCAGTGTAAATTCCAAGCTATTTCCTCATTTTCTATCAAAATTCCTATTGGTTTGTGGAGTTCAGTGTCGTAGTGAATCTAGCACATGCTCTTAGGCTAAGGAATCATTCATTTTTTCCTTTATAAATTAAACATTTCCATCAGGGAGATGAAAGCTGCCTCTCAACTTCCTCTGACTTTGAATTTCAGAAGCTTCTTGAGCAAAGGAGTCATTGACAAGTTCTTGGCAAAAGTGGAACAAGTTTATTCCTGGCTGGGAAATGGGACTTGGAGCTGAGGGTTCTGTGGTGGGTTCAAAAAAGCTGAGTCAGTCCTATATCTCTGGATCTTTGGAGGCTTTGATATTTCATAGGCAGAAGAAAGGGAGTCAAGATCTATTTTTTTCTCCACATCATCATATGTTTCTGCTGATGTCACGATTTAGGGGATGAGTTATAAAGCAATTTTACCAGACTACCATAGTGGTAGGTGCTCTTTGTTCCCATAGGAATTACATGCTGGTGAGAATCAGATTGAAATCCTCAATGCAGAGAATCTGAAACACCTGAATTCCCTGTCTGTGCTGGAACTCAGAGACAACAAGATCAAATCAGTCCCTGAGGAGATCACTCTGCTGCAGAAGCTGGAGCGGCTCGACCTGGCCAACAATGACATCAGTAGGTAATAGAGAAAGCTGGGCTGGGTCTGGGGGGGGACATGGCTGGTGGCAGCTCATTCCTGGTGGATCACACTAGGGAGGTGCAATTAAGAAAGGACTTAATCATAAAATGAGGGAACCCTCTGTATTGTGTGATTGCTCTGATCAAACTGGGCCTTTCTTAAACATTCTGTGTTCTGCTTGTGACTTATGTTTGATTGTAAGTGCTTTGGGGAGGGTCTGAGGGAGCTGGGGAAGGGGCTGGAGCACCAGGAGTGGTTGAGAGAGCTGTAGGGGCTCAGCCTGAGAAGAAGAGGGTCAGGGGGACCTTCTCACTCTTTGCAGCTCCCTGACAGGAGGGTGCAGCCAGGTGAGGGTCAGGCTCTGCTCCCAGGGAATAGGGACAGGACAAGAAGAAACGGCCTCAAGTTGTGCCAGGGGAGGGTCTGGTTGGACATCAGGAGGAATTTCCTCACGGAAAGGGTGTTCAGGCATTGGAAGGGGCTGCCCAGGGAGGTGGTGGAGTCCTTATCCCTGGAGGTGTCCAAGGAAGGACTGGATGTGGCACTCAGTGCTCTGGGCTGGGTGACAAGGTGGGGATCAGGCTCGGGCTGGACTCGATGGGCTGGGAGGGCTTTTCCAACGTAAATGATGGTGGGATTCTGCATCTTTTTCTTTGAACCTGAGCTTCAGAATCCCATCTGACAAACCATTGCAGATTCCTTAGCAATTGGTTTGGAGCTGCTTTGAAATGAGTTGTTTCCATCTGCAGGTTGCCTTATACATTGGGGAACCTTCCTCAGCTGAAATTCCTGGCACTGGAGGGAAATCCTTTGAGAACCATCCGGAGAGACCTGCTGGAAGTAAGCACTGGAGTTTGGTTATGTTGCAGGTGAACATTTGCTGTGTCCCCACAGTGTGGGCAACAGGAGAAACATGAAAAGCTAAAAATGCGGAGCCCGAGGTTGTGATTCAGGATCAGAAATTTTCAATTGGAATAGATGAAATTATAACTAAACAAGTTCCTAAGATGCTGTGAGGAGGGCTTCCCTGTGGGATTTCAGGTGAAATTTTTATTCAGCAGTGTTGTTGGCTCCACCTCTGTGACTGGAATTGTCCCTCTGCATTGTTTCACCAACTGCATAAACCCCACTTAGTGACTGTTTTTTTGTTTCTTTTTAAAAGAAAGGCACCCAGGAACTTCTGAAATATCTGAGAAGCAAAATCCAAGGTGTGTTGCTTTATTCCATTTATTGCATTTAAAGAGATTCTAAGAAATGAAAATAAATCAGAACCTAGGGAGGGTGGTTGTTTAAATCCGGACCTTTCCAGTTATCCTGCAATAATAGAGATTTCTTTACTCAACAGTTTGCTCTGATATTTCTGTTTCTTTTCCTTATTCTGTTAGATAATACTGAATAACAAACATGCTCTTATTGAGGATTATAATTTCTAAAATAATCTCAATATGCCTAATCTTTGTTCTTAAAAGGGACCTTGATTATAGATGCATCAGCTTTTCTTACCAGTGCTGTATGACTGTTCCTTTTCCAGTGGTTGTCCCCACTTGCCAGAGGATGGCAGCATTAATTAGGCTTCTGCAGCAGAAAAAATTCCTTCCAAATGTCAGCTTCCATGCAAATCTGACATGTTAACTCCACAAAACTTAATGGAATGCTGGAGTACAAGCTCAGTCTAACAGATAATATAATTGTGATAACACAATTAGCTCATGTCTTGCATGTACAGCAGTACTTACGGTTTTACTCTACCTCTTATGGAGCTAAACCAGTGGCAGTCCTGTTTCTGTAGAGGTTTAAATTGGGAAAAGCCTCCTTTTTTAGCTTATTTCTGACCCTTTTGCCAGAAAATTATTGGAATAATCTGAATTAGGTGACCTTCAGTTGAACCAGGAGTAAAGGGGGTGGTGGAGGTGCCTGGGATGCACTCCTGGATCCCTCAGAACTGTGACTGGACCCCTCTGTTGTCTGTAGATGATGGACCTGGCCCCAGTGAAGAGCCTCCTGTGACAGCCATGACCCTTCCCAGCCAGGCAAGGGTGAACATGCATGCCATAACCTCACTGAAATTACTGGAGTACAGGTATGTGCTTGGAAATACTACCTGTTCCTAAAGCTGCAAAAACACTCCCCTATTTTTTGGTTGTGTTTCCCCCTCCTGCCTTTATTACATACCAAGCTGTCCACAAATCCTACTGTATTTGGGCATTTTCCCCTTTAATTCCTGTACTCAGGAATAGGCAGATTTGGATTGCAGGGGTTTAATTATTCATTTGTAATATCAAATATTTCACAGTAACTCAACTGAAGTGCTGAAAACCTTCAGGTGCTTTTGGTACCTTTTAAGCTCTTTACAGTTTTCAGTAAGTCTCAGAACATCTTGTAGTAGGTGAGTGTCTCCTCAATTATTTTTTAACTGTACCTTGTTAAGCTGGGAATGGGAAAGAAAACCATGAAGGACTTGGGGGTGTTGATGGATGAGAAGCTGAGACAGGCTGGGAGAACTGGGAATGTTCATCCTGGAGAAGAGGAGGCTTCAGGGGCAACTTGGAGCCCCTTCTTGTGCCTAAAGGGACTCCAAGCGATGCTGGAGAGGGACTTTGGACAAGGACATGGAGAGACAGGACAAGGGAGAATGGCTTCCCACTGCCAGAGGACTGGGTTAGATGGGATATTGGGAAGGAATTCTTGGCTGTGAGGGTGGTCAGGCCCTGGCACAGGTTGCCCAGAGAAGCTGTGGCTGCCCCATCCCTGGCAGTGTCCAAGTCCAGGTTCGACGGGGTCTTGGAGCAACCTGGGATAGTGGAAGGTGTCCCTGCCCATGGCAGGGAATGGAACAGATGAGCTTTAAGGTCCCTCCCATCCCTAACTATTCCAGGATTCCAGGATTCTCTGATACTTGGTGACAGGGCAGTGGTTGGAGCTTTTTGATCAACAGACCCATGCATTTCAAATTGTACCTGCTCATCTTCTCTAAAAGAAGGTGAAAATGCCTTGTTAATCACCAGAAAGGATGAACTGGTATTGCTCAGCCCCTCTTTCTCCCCTCAGTGAGAAGCAGGCAGCAGAGATCCCTGAGGAGATGTTCGATGCCGTGGGCACCAACCCTGTGGCCACTGTCAACTTCAGCAAGAACCAGCTGAGAGAGGTGCCCCCAAGGTACTTTGTGAAGGTCATTCCTCATCTGTGACTTGCTTTTCTGCCTTTGTTCTCAGCATCTTGTGTCCTCCCTGAAGCCGTTTGCACTTTGTTGCTGTGTCTGTGCACACAAATCAAAGTACAGTGAGATACAGTGACACAACTTGTGTGTCTTGTACAGGAGCGTGCACATGGGACCTGGAGTCACTTGTGTCATCCACAGTCATGGAAAATCTCTGGCACTGATGGCACTGATTAGTCTTTTTGTGTTACAAGGAAGGTTTGCTGGATCTCTGGGAGCCCAAGAAAACCACCAACACTGATTTTTAAGGACACTACCACATTGTGGAATTGATCTATGCCCATTCTCAGACCCAAGTGTGCTGAATGTTTCACCTTTAGAACATAGAGCTTGAAGAGGTGCAATCTCAGGGGAAAAAAAAAGTCCATTTTCAGGTACAATCTCTAGAGACTGGATTTTGTGAGCTGGTGTTTGTGCCTCCTGTGCTTTGTCACTGTATCAGAGGCTGTTGCATTCCCTGGGATAGGTGTGGGTGGGTGTGCAGCTGCCTCAGAATTCCATGCCAATCCAGACAGGAGAGAAAAGTGTTTTCTCATTTAATAGCATTTTGGTTTTAGGGCTAAACCAGAGGTTCTATTTGGGGGGTTTTACAGTGAACTTCTTGAGCGGCTAAATAATTTACACCAGAGCATCTCAATGTAACAGCCTTTTACAAGCAGCAGCAGGAATTTGTAACAATGGAGCAGAAACAAAAGATGGGAAAAAATAGGAATTTCTTTCAGTTTGTTTGGCTGCAGAAGAAGGTGGATAAGAGTCAGTATTAAAATGTCTCCAGGTCAGGAGATGGCAGTGATGGTCACCTGTGCTCTGGTCTCTGACGTAGCTCTTGGCTGCATTTACTGAGGAGGTTTTTGTAGTAAAATTTACTCTCCTAATCAGAGAGAGAAAATGTGATCTAATCACTGTAGATCAGTAATTTGAGCTTTGCCTTCACCCAAGTGTAAGGTTTGAGGAGCAGCAGCTCTCACAGGTGACATCTCATTATCTTCACAAAATTTCTTCTGGATTGTCAAGAAACAAAATGTGTCCTTGATTTGTAGAAGAAAGCAGTTTTTAAATAACTTAGAATGCAAGCATGAGCTTCCATAATTACAGTATTTCCTTTTCGGGTTTCAGGATTGTGGAGCTGAAAGACTCAGTTTGTGATGTCAACCTCGGCTTCAACAAAATCTCCTCCATTTCCCTGGAGCTGTGCAGGCTCCATAAATTGACACATTTGGATCTCAGGTTGGTGACGTGTGTTGGGTTCCTTCCCTGGGAACTTATTTTCCTGCCTCCCTAAACCAGCCATCTGTTCCAGTGGGATTGCAGCACTGGGATCAGTTTTCATTCCCAAATGCCTCCATGGCAGAGCTGAAATAGCCTAAATTTGGGTCTTGGTAAAAGAAAACCCAAAAAACAAGTGGACCAGCTCTGAGACTTGCTGTGAGGAGAGACATGTTGCTATTTAAAAACACTTCCATCACCCTCCAAAAGACACACACACCAAAAAGTCTTGGGAATTAGGACAGTGAAAGTTCAGATCTTGTGATGTTGCTGGAAACAGAAGCATTAAATGGCAAAAGATGTTACTTATGTTATCTTACCTCCCCTGACTCCTGAGAAATGCTCCTTGCATTGTTCAGCATCAGGATTAGCTCAAACCATGGATTTTGGAGAGGTGTAGCTACCTGACTGATTTACTTTGGCTCCAGGATCTGGGCAGTTTCCTAAACTATCCTCTGGAATCCAAGGAGCTGAATTTCCTGGCAGGAAATTCATTATGGAGTTTTTGGATGCTTGGGAATACTTGGGAATCTTTAGAGGACAGGCTTTGAGTCTCCTCCTGGTAGAAATGGGAATCCAGCGTGGCTGGCAGGTCAATCCAAGCCAGCAGCTGTACCTGGGCATGGTCTTGCCCAATTTCTGAGGCAATGAACTGGCCACAGACAGTGTGGATGTGATCAGTATGTTCTGTCCTGGGGATTCTCAACTAAAACCTTGAGCAAGTGAATGATTATTGTTTGTCTTCCTTTGGTACACAGAAACAACGTTTTGACATCTTTACCCAAGGAAATGGAGGCACTGACAAGACTGCAGATAATCAATCTTGCTTTTAACAGGTGAGCAACTCTCTAGATTTTTTAATAAAATAATAATCAAAAGAACTGGGCTGAATTTTCTATGATTTTCCTGTGATATAAGAACGAGGAGACACTGGGCCGACAAGTTGTGGGCTTGAAACCCATGAAGTGCTTGTGTTTGTATTGCCCTGTTTCTGACTTTCCCTGCTTTGCCTCCTTTCTCTTCCTGAAGATTTAAGGCCTTTCCCAGTGTCCTCTATCACCTCCCAGCCCTGGAGACCATCCTGCTCAGCAACAACCAGGTGGGGTCCATTGACCCGCTGCAGCTGAAGGGGATGGACATGCTGGGAACGCTGGACCTGCAGAACAATGACCTCCTCCACGTGCCCCCAGAACTGGGGAACTGTGAAAACCTGAGGTGTGTGGTTTCACTGGGGATCTGTTTATACAATTGTATTCTGTCTGAGTTCTTCAGGCAGTGTTTGACTGTCAGAGGAAGAAGTGCTCCTTGGCAGGATATTGTTTGTGGAGTCGCAGTGCCCCAAAAGGATCGTCCTGATTATCTGTAAAACAAGGCAGTTTCTTCCATATTTTCTCACTATTGTAAAGAGTTGGAGGAGTTGTTTCATCATTTCAGGGTCTGTTCATTTGTATGAAGCTTCTGGCACAGCCTTGGTTATGTTGCCTGTCCAGTCACACTGTGATGCAGCACAGACAGGCCAGGCTTAGCAGGGAGGTTGGACCAGGTGAGCCCACTGTGGTCCCTTCCAGCCTGAACCATCCTGGAATTATGTTTCTGTATTCCAGGAGTTCTTTTCTCACTCCTGCTGGCAGAGGCTTGCTGCAGAATTGGGGTATGTGCTGCAGTCATACACCCCCACTGATTTATTAGCATAAATTAAAATTCACATGTCTCTAAAGCCAAGCTGGTGTGAAGCAGGAAAGCAGGAATTAAAACTTTTAGAACAGAAGAGGGATTACTTACAAATTCCAAAAGATTCAGCAGTCTGTATGCAGTGGATGAGTGTGTGGGTACAAGAAGTCTTTATCTAAGTGCAGATCCCTGTTTTCCAGGACCCTGCTGTTGGAAGGGAACCCATTCCGCACCCCCCGGGCTGCGATCCTGGCCAAGGGAACGGCTGCAGTGCTGGAATACCTGCGGAGCCGCATTCCCACCTGAGCCAGCTCCTGCCCTGGGCCAGCAGGGATCACACGACAGGGGGCTCCACTGCCTCTCTCCTCCTCCTCCTCCTGCCCGGTCCAAAGCATCCATGAGGCTGTTTGTGTGTTAAGAAAGAACTGACCTGTAAAACATTCCCTGGATGCATGTTCCAATGGGGATCTCAGCATCCCACGCTCTGTTTACACTGTTTGTGATAAAGGAGCCATGGTGCTCTCTGCAGGCCAGCTGAGCTTTCAAGACAGTTGTCAAATCAAAGCCTTTGGGCAAAAGGGAACACTTGATTTTTGTATCCCTTTTTTGGTCTCTTTTCACTGCTCCCCCAAAATTGATTCCTGGTCTGTGTGGTAAATGCTGGAGCTGTGAGGGGGTGACCAGGAGTGAGAGGTACCCCCCGCTTTGTGCATGGCTCACCTGAGGGCAAGAAAGTGGCCGTTGTTGGCAGCTGCACTAAGACAATAAATCTGTCCCCTTGGATGTCTGTTTTGGGTTCTTTAAGCATGTGCTGTAATTAAGTTTTCTAGACAGTAACACTGAGATACTTTTCTTGTATCTCAGTTGTATCACACTTCCATGTCCTGAAGGTGATGCCTTTAATGATCATGGTGCTGCAGTGTGGGTATTAATAATATACAGAACCACAGAATCACAGATTCACTTCCATTGGAAAAGCCCTCCCAGCCCATCAAGTCCAACCTGAGCGTAATCCCCACCTTGTCACCCAGCCCAGAGCACTGAGTGCCACATCCAGTTGTTCCTTGGACACCTCCACGGATAAGGACTCCACTGCCTCCCTGGGCAGCCCCTTCCAATGCCTGAACACCCTTTCCAGGAAGGAATTTCTCCTGAGGTCCAACCTGAATCTCCCCTAGCACAGCTTGAGGCGTGTCCCATCTCCTTGTTCCCTGGGAGTATGGGCTTGTTCCCATTCCTCTTGTCCCATCCCTTGTTCCCTGGGACCAGAGCCTGACCCCCACCTGGCTCCACTGTCCTGTCAGGGAGTTGCAGAGAGCCAGAAGGTCCCCTCTGAGCCTCCTTTTCTCCAGGTTGAGCCCCCCCCAGCTCCCTCAGCTGCTCCTGGTGCTCCAGACCCTTCCCCAGCTCTGTTCCCTTCCCTGGACATGCTCCAGCCCCTCGATGTCCTGGTCATGAGGGCCCAGAACAGGACACAGCACTCGAGGTTCTGGATCACAGCAAAATTTAATACAGTTCAACACTAAACTTTCCAGGTTCTGAATGTGTCCAGAATGAACATAAAATACACTAAACTGCTCAGGTCTCCAGGTTTAGGAAGTGCCTTTCAGCCAGAGCAGGGATGGCTGAGGGACCTCAGCCCCAGCTGCACTTCCCCATGGTCCTGGTGGAAGGGACCAGAACTGCCCAGGCTGGTGGGGAAATTCAGAGTATTAACCTGTGTGGAAAGATGGACTGGGAGGGGAGCAGAAAAGGAAAGGACAGGATGTTTCCTGTGGGAAATACCTGATGGTATCTGTGTGTAGTTCTAAGCTCCAAGAGGTCTTGGTAGAGCTCCAGCATGTCCATGGGCAGCTCTGGATGATGGATGGTGGATCCAGTTCCCTGGATGATGGAGTTGCTGCTGCTCTCAACCCCAGCCCTCTCGTTTCCATACATTTGTCCTTTCATACACCATTTGAACCCAAAAAGCAGTAAACAGAGAGTTTTCTTCACCAGCTGCATCGCTCCCATTCCTTATCTGATGTCCCACAGTAGCAAGGAGAATTGCCCAGTTTTCCAGGCCCACTTCTGGAGGGATGTGGGGAACAACCACCCCTTCCTCTCCCTCCCAAACCTTCCATCCTTCCTGACAGCAAAGAAATGACCCAAAAGAATTACAATAAGGTGACATTTTTATTATTTATACAATAAAGAGACTTTTTTATGTTATTCAAAACATTTTTTTTTTTTTGAAATACTGAAAAATTCGGGTACACCAAAGCCGAAAATGGCTCTGCTAATACTGCACAGCGGCGGTTCAGTCCCTGGGCTCCCTATGGACAGAAGCATCTGCAAAATGCATCAACACCACACGCACGGGCCGGGGCCCCACAGGGCACGGGGAGGGGACAACCTGCATGTGCCAAGGGACGAGAGTTGATTGCACTCAATCAATAGATTTAAAATAGAATTTTTGAAGTACCTTTTTGCACAGAAAATGAAGCAGCTTTCAAGTTCAGTTAAGTCTTTATACTGCAAAAAACATGAAGTACATTCACAATCTATGTTAATAAAGTAGTAAATATTTCCTCATTCAGCTTTATTTACAGGAATACTGGAATTCAACTGAAAAGTACAGTCATCTGGAATATAGCAATCTTTGAACACATACAAAAATGACCATTTCTGTATATAATTTAAGCTCAAAATCACAATTATCTCAAAATATTAATTACAATACAGCCATCTCCATCATAATTAAACATGTCTTTTATAAAATGGTAAAATCTTTAATAAAGGAAGCTGTTGGTTCTGAACCGGATACAGTACTCACAGGTAGAAAACCGAAGTGATGAGCGAGTGCCCTGCCCGGGGAGGGGACACGAAGGGGGGACACGAGGGAGGGACATGAGCCACCGAGGCAGCCCAGAGACAAAGGCCCTGAGTGCCAGGGCCAGGGGTCCTCACACAATGCAATGGTGTCATTCAGTCACTTCCACAAAATCGGCTGGAATCATCCAGGAAGGGGATTGGCAAAAAGTTTTTTTAGGTTTGTTTTTTTTTTTTTTTCAATTCCACGATTTGCAAACGGTCCCTTTTGGGATTGGGTCAGCAGTGGCCCTGCAGGCTCCCGGAGTGGCCCACAGCGCCAACAGCCTCGTTCCCACAGCACCCAAACCCCCAGTGGATCCGTATCCCATCAAACTACTGCCCGGAAAGTTGTATTGGCACGGCCATAGGGAATGACCCAGGACCTGAGTGCCTGGGAATAAGGGGATGAGGCCAGACGGCTTTGTGCGCTTCAAGAGGGAATTATGGAATCTGAAAGGGAGAGAAGGGAGGGGCCATGCCAGCCATGGGCAGGGAGCTCAGACTGCAGAGAGAATTCCCAACTTCCCCAGTGTGGGATTTCTAACTGTGAAATCCAACCAGTTCACAGGATCACAGGATAGCTGGCGTTGGAAGGGACCTCTGGAGATCACCCAGTCCAACTCCCTGCCCATGCAGGGTCACCTGGAACAGGTGACAAAGGAATTTGTCCAGGTGGATTTGGGATGTCTCCAGCTAAGGAGACTGACTCCATGCCCTTCCTGGGCAGCTATTCCAGGCTCTACCACCCTCCATGGAAAGAAGTTCTACCTCATGTTGAGGTGGAAGTTCTTGTGTTTTAGTTTATGGCCAAATTCTGCCAAGGTGGGTGGTGACTCCACAGCTTTGTCACCTCCTGTGCCTGTGTGTGCCCCATGTCCAACCCTGATCCTGTTGGACAGGGTCTGCCTGGCTGGGGGGAAATACACCCCGCCGTGTCCTGAGCTGGACTGGGCAGCACAGCCCTGGCTTCGACCCTTCTCCTGCCACAGACAATTCCCAGGAATAACCACCCTGATCCCCACTGACCCTGTACAGACCTGGGTCTGACACCGTGGCCTGTCTCAGCTGATCCAAATGTGCCTTTGTAATTTAATATAGGGTTTGCATTTCCTGTTGCAAATCTCCCTTTCAGATATATACACATCTATAAATAAGCATTTTTGATTGCATAAGGTAATTAATGCTATATTACAGCAGAGAGGTTTCATAGAATCCCAGATTGGTTTGAGTTGGAAGAGACCTTAAAGCTCATCCAGTTCCACCCCCTGCCATGGGCAGGGACACCTTCCACTATCCCAGGTTATTCCAAGCCCTGTCCAACCTGGCCTTGGACACCCCCAGGGATGGGGCAGCCACAGCTTCTCTGGGCAACCTGTGCCAGGGCCTCCCCACCCTCACAGCCAGAAATTTCTCCCCAGTATCTCATCTAACTCTGCCCTTTGGCAGTGGGAAGCCATTCCCCCTTGTCCTGTCCCTCCAGGCTCTTGTCCGAAGTCCCTTTCCAGCTCTCTTGGAGCCCCTTTAGGCACTGGAAGGGGCTTTAACCAACATCTTTACACTCCAAGTGCTCACTAACAGCAGCAAACCAACACCCAGACATTCCATACTCCTTTTTTCCTTGGATTTTCCTTGGATTTCCTTGACTCTGCTCTCAGCTGCCCCATTCACCCCCAGTATTGTCCTGCCTGGGCCCTGCTTGGAGCCACTGGCTGGGCATGGCCACCCTGGCTGGCATCTCCTGTCCCCTCACAGGGGCTGGCACTGCTACCAAACACAGATGCAGATGTCGATGTGTTATAAAATATCTCAGAAAGCAAGATTTGAAGATGTTAAATTGTTGCTGTTGGAACACCTGGCTGATAACTCCCCTAGTTTGTCATCACCTGGATACGAACTGTGAGCTGGCACTGGGAAAAGGGGGTCCTGGAGGCTTCCTGCGGTCTGGGCTGAGCTTTTTCCTCAAAAAATTTTAAAAAAGCATTTTGAAAGCAGCTTTTTTGCTTTCTTTTTCCTCCCCCACCATCGCCCTGTGCAGGACCCCCTGTGTAGGGGGGACCCCTCAGCTCTCCGGGGCTCAGCTCTGTCCCTCCGCTCCTGGCAAATCTCCAAAAGGTCCCACAGCCAGGGAGGGAAGGGTTAGGAATTCCTAGTGGCTCTTGGAGGCAGCGAAGTGGAATATCCCCAGCTGTGTCTGTGGGCTGTGGCTGCACCCTTGGATGTGGGATTTTTGGGTGGGAATGAGCCTGGGCACAGACGAGCCTGGTGCCAGCTCTCCCTCATCCCTTCCTCAGGGAAATGGGATCCTCTGAAAACACCTGGTGGGAGGTTTCCCTGTCTTTTTCCATCTTGCTGCCAGGTATAACCACGCTGGAGCCCTGAACCACCAGCAGCTGTCAGGACTCTGTTGGGAGCAGCACCAGGACTTGGACCTGAGGGGTTGTCACACTGTGCCCTGAGCTGGGAATGCTCCTTCCAGGCTGGCTTGATGTCACTCAGTGTCACCTGCTGCTCCCTGGGGTGTGGCAGCTCTAAACCTGCTCCCATTCCCTGTAAAGGACTCCTGATCAAATCAAGGATCACATAAAGCCTCCCCGATGGGAATATCCCAAGCTGGGCCCGGCCCGGCCTGGAGCCAGTGAAGATACACAACAATGTCCATGGGAATGGGGGATGTGAGTAAAGGGCCTCGAATTGGAAATTAAAAAAGTGAAATAATAAAATTAGCAGCAACAAAAGAAGTTTTACTGCCACCATCACAACCTTCCTCCATCCGTGAGCCAAACCTGCCTGTCCTCGGAGTTCTCCTGTAGAGTGTGCACATGGAATCCATGGGAAGTGCCAAACCAAAGGTGTTAACCCATTCCAGAGGGAGTTAACCCATTCCAAAGGAATTCAGAATCACAGAACCATAGAATGGTTTGGGTTGGAAGGGACCTTAGAGCTCATCCCATTCCATCCCCTGCCATGGGCAGGGATACCTTCCACTAGACCAGGTTGCTCCAAGGCCCATCCAACCTGGCCCATTCCAAAGGAAGTTCACCCATTTCCATGTGGGTTTTTGTACCGAGGTCCCAGAGTTCCAATTTCAGAAGTCTCTCACCCTGTATATGAATTGTTCCTGATCCCTACGGAGCCAACTATACACACGGCATATGTACAGGTATTTTCATAAGGCATAGAATATCTTTGCATTGAAAATAAATGAACATTATTAAATTTAATTTAATATATACTTTCTTTGAGGTGTTTATGAAAATATTTTTTTCTCTATACTTTTGTATGCGACATGATAGAAATATTTCATGGGAAGTACAGGTTAATATAGTTCATCTTTATAAAGGCATATACAACTCTGAGGCAGTGTTTCTGATGGACAGCAGAATTCCTAAAGGATTTGTATGTGCTTCTGTGTTCTGAAATCATATGAAATCGACTTTAAGAAGTAACTTGATTAAAAAAACGCACCAATGCACAGCCAGAGGCTGACAAGTAAAACTAATACGGAGCCACATGAACAATATATTTATATAGTTAATATATTTTTTCCCGATGATTGGTACTAACATAGAGTATTATACATTTGGCACTACTGTTTGCCATTGGTCCAGCAATTGGCAAAAAATTGGTTTCCTATGTATAAATCTGTTTGAACATTAGATCTGGCTAGACATATTTACTATTTATAAAAAAATATTTAGACAGTAAGCTCACGTTGAATAACAAGGTCTACTGTGTTCTGGAAACTCTTCAGTAGAAGCACAGCCTTCTCGTGTTCCATATGTACAAAGCTGTGTCCATTGGCCTGCAACAGGGACAAACACAGGAGAAAGCTCTATAGTGGCTTCATTTTGGTGGAACAAAGGGGTGGATGGAAATAAAAAGCTAAAATAAATAATGGACACATAAGGATCCCACAAACACTGAGCACACGTTATTCTCGCCCTCCATTGGCTTCGAGCAGGGGCTGAACTGGAGTCTCCAGGGAATACTTCATTCCCACTGAAAAGATCCTGTGACTCTGGGATAGTTTGTGTGTTTTCTGAGGAAGCATAACTCTGGGATGGAAGGTTTCCATATTCCAGGTGCTGTGCTGCATGTATGGGCAGAATGGGCTCCATTTGGATACAGAAATAAAGAGGGAAGTATTTATAAGCTGTTCTGTCAATTAAATCTCTCTATAATAATCTCTCTCTTGTCTGTTTCAACACTATTTCAAAAATCAAATGTTAATAAACATCATTACCCACAGTTCACTGACTGTGCTCAATAGGCCCAAGTAGAAGATCCACCATTCTCCAGGAAAATGGACACAGCCCAGGAAGGGAATCAGGCTCCATGGCCACACCTGCTCCAGGTCCCCCCTGAACCTCCTCTTCTCCAAGCTGAGCCCTGCCAGCTCCCTCAGCTGCTCCTGGTGCTCCAGACCCTTCCCCATCTCCATTCCCTTCTCTGGACATGCCCCCATCCCTCAATGTCTCTCTTGTCTGAGGGGCCCCGAACCGACCCCAGCACTGTAGGTATCTCAGCAGTGCCCAGCACAGGGGCACATCACTGCCTTGGGGCTGTGGCCACACTATTTTTGATACAAACCAGGTACCATGAGGATCATCGAGTCCAACCCTTAGCCCTGCACAGGACCATCCCCAAGAGTCACACCAGGTGCCCCAGAGGATCATCCAAACATTCCTTAAGCTCTGCCAGCCTCGGTGCTGTGACCACTGCCCTGGGGAGCCTGTTCAGTGCCCAACCACCCTCTGGGGAAGAACCTTTTCCTGAGATCCAACCTAACCCTGCCCTGACACAACTTCAGGCCTGCATCACCACCACTTCATTTCTGAGCTGCCCTCAGCCCCCCAGCAGTCCCTCCCCCTGTACCTGCAGGATCTTGTCCCCAGGCTGGAGCAGGCTGGACGCGGGGCCGTCAGGCTGAACCCTAGTAACAAAGATACCCTATAAGTCAAAGTAACACAGGTTAGGATGCCATCTCCGAGACCTACAGCCCAAAATACAGGTGAGTCCCTAACTGGGGTCTGGGGACTTTATAGACTTGGGCTGAACACCAAACTCCATTTTAATCTGTTTGTAATCAAACACTAGGTTGGGTTTGTAGCAGCTTCAGCTGCTTCACCCAATAAATATAATTGTGGGTCATTTTTAACTAAGCTTCCACCTCACAAAATACTGTCCAATATGAATAGAGTGAAAGGGCTTATCAGGAGGGTAAGTAAAATGGAGGAAGCATTAATTTATTAGAATAATCTCTACCATAATCTACACAGTAATCTTTGTTTGATTCCTCTAGGAAACAAAAAAGTTTAAAAGACGTCTAGAAAGCAGTTGATTATTCAGCCCTTGAGATCTTCAGTGCTGTGGGACAGACCTTAAATCCAGTGTCTGAGCAGTGAAAGGCTTTGAAAGAGGAAAGCTATTAAGAGTAAAGGATAGTTATAGATTTGTTTTCAGAATTTCAGTAAAATATGTTAATAAACTCACAAATCAAAGGTTGGTTCCAGCTGATGAGCACATTAAACTCCCACACAGCTCATCAGTTCTGGCCCCTCAGTGTCTGTGCTGTGCTCTCCCTGCTCCAAGGGGAATCCAAGGCTAAATGTGAACATTCCCATTGCTCCCAGGCACACCAGGGAAATCCCTGCTTGGCATCACCATCATGTGCATCCTTGAGGGATTTGACAGTCTTGTGAGCAAGGCCCTGCCCAGTATTGCCAGTGTAAAACCCAGCATAAAACTGGGACAGAGCTGTACATGGGCTGCTGAAGGCTCATCCCTGTGCCATGAACTTGTGGCAGGGGTCTGCTGTTCCAAAGGAATGGTGGCTTCTCCATGGCTTCTCCTGTCCTCTCATTCCACTGATATCAGCATTTCATTTAAAATATGGCAAATCTGGTGTCACTGTGTGGGAAGTGATGGTTCAGAGTAACAATATAGAAAAACCCTTTAACTATTAATTCCCCTCCCATCACTCCCTGAGTTGTGTTCCTGTGAGTGGGAAAACCAGTTCTATCTCCAGCTGTTCCTGCCTTGCTCCAGACACATTCAGAGTGGAACAGGGACTCTCCTTCAGTCACTTCAGCCAAGTGACAGCCAGGAAAAGTCCAGCTTAATTCTATCATCCCACCTTCAACTGGGCAAAACCAGGCCCCGATGTTATAAAGTATAATTCCAGTGTGAAGTCTCCAAGGACACCAAAAATGAGAACATTTTGAAGGATAATAGTTAAAATTCCTGGGGTTTATGTACATTACATGGAACTACTCTGGAAGGTCAAAACAGGGATTATCAATAAGAAAACTGAATCCCAGAATCCCAGACTGGTTTGGATTGGGAAGGACCTTAAAGCCCATCTTGTTCCACCCCCTGCAATGGGCAAGGACACCTTCCTTAGACCAGGAATTCAGACTGTGTCAGGTTGGTATTTCCAAGCCTATTTTACATTCCCAGTCAGTTTTCTGTTGTAATTTAGGGAGGTGGGGAATTGATTTCTTTAATTTGCAGGTAGATCTCAAAGTTTTGAAAAGAGATGAAAAAAGAATTTTAAAAAAATTTCATCACTTGCCAAACTTTCTCCATACTTAACGGAAGTTCTGACAGTCTCTGCAAACTGAATCCTGGATTAGCAAAGGACATCAGCTCTAGGAATGTGTTCAACAGAGAGGTGCCCAAAGTGCTCATTTTCCAACAAACTCCACTCAGTTTTATTGCATCAAACAGACAAATTTAAAGGTCTAAGAGTGCATTTCCTAATCCTACAGCCCCGGGAGCTGGGAATCACCAGATGGTGGAGTTTTTCTAGGCTTCCTTTTATCACATAGAGATTTATCTTAGACTTGCAATTCCCAGAATGAATCCTGAGTCTCCCTGACCACTGTGTATCTCATGGGGACATTCTTAATTTCCAGCACAGAAGGTAACTGGTGCCATGGGGTCTGTAAGGATCCAGTGATCTCCAGTTTACAGGCCAGGCTGGTTCTATGTGACACAGCAGCTACAAACCCTGGCATTCCATCTACCAGTACTGCTGGTTTAGTGTCCCCTCTAATTAATTTACTTAAAGCTTAAATCAGGGCTAAAAGTGACTCTTAAAAGTGAGAGAGAAAATTCTCCAGAAAACAGCCTCACAAATTATCTTAGACGTGGAATATGGGGCAGACACCCATGGGATTGATGTTTGATTCTCTCATTTTCATTAACTGGGAAAAGAAAGCAAACACCACCAAAAAAACCCCCAAACCAACCAACCAAACAAAAAAGACAAGTATGGGGAAAAGTATTTCAATAATCACAACAGAAGGGCATAAACATCTCGCTCATGTTCTCCACATCTCCATAAACATCTCGCTCATGTTCTCCACGTCTCCACTCTAAAATAAGGACCAGGTAGAGAGAAATTCCCAACGTACCTTATCGGAAGGTTTGAATGGATTTCCTTGTCCACTTATTCCACCACTGATACTAAACCCCAGGCCAGGATTCTTCTCTATCCTCACACAAAACTAGATTAGAAAGACAGGGCGGGGTAAGTGGATGCCAACATTAAACCCTTCCTAAACCACAGCATCCTTCTTCCCACACATCCCGTTCACCATCAGGGGGACGAGCTGAGCCCTGCACTGCACAGTGTGGAGAAAGTCAGTGGAATATTGCTATAAACTGGAAGTACTGGCATGATTTTAGCACACAGTGATACCATAATATTCCCTGTCATTCACAGATTTTTTGCACGGATTTTAAAGTTTCGTTTTCAAGGAGGAAAAAAACCCGTTAGACTCATGAGATGTTCACATTGGCCAAATTTTTTCTCATAAACGTTAGGATAAACCTGTCAGTGAGGCTTAATCTGTGAAATTTTATTTTTCCAGAAGGAGTCACATGTGCAGCATCCCTGGGACAAAGCAAGGGATAAATACTCAAAGCTCAGGGATCTTCAGAGCATTGCCAGGTCAGGGCACAGGCCCACAACCTGCACTGAGCACCTCATTCAGCAAAGTCAGGGGCCCCAAACAGGTATTTCAGTCATTAAGGCCAAATATAATGAGGACAGAACCATTAATGAAGGAACTCCCCAGTGCTGGGGGCACTGGGGCTGCAGATGGCCTTTCACTGGGCAGATCTGAGCAGATTAGTGTGTTATAAAATAACCTGCCCTGTTGACACTTAACTGGGTTGCTGGGGAAGAGGCAGAAGGTGCAAATTAATTCGGTGTGACCCTGTGATGCCAGTTCTGCTCAGGGACTTCAAGGGCAAATGGTGTCACTTGATCAGTCCAAGAGAAAATGGGTATTGATGGCTGGTGCTGGGAAATGGGATGGACCAGCCTGCCCCTAGTCCATCCAGAGCTCCTTGGGCTGCCCAGCTCAGCTGCCCCATTCCTGCCCGAGGCTCCCTTGTACCATGGACACTTTGGAAAACACAGGGACATCTCTGCCCCGAAGTTGCAATGCAGACCCTCTCACCTGCTCCTGGTAGGCGTCGGTGCTCCGCTGGCCCTTGGTCTGGATGAGGCACCGCCCGGTCTGGGGGGCTCGGGAGCTCTGGGCCGCTGGGATCTGGATGGGCAGCGGCGGCTGGTACTGCTGGATGGTGACCTTGTTCATGCTCCCCTCGTAGGGCTGCTCCCGGCTCCGGTGCTGCAGGCTCTGGGATCCCATGAGGGTCTGGATGTGGCTACCTGCCTGTGGGCAACGCAATCTGTTAGACCACAAAGGCAGGAGGCTGAAAAGAAGTGATTATTAAACTCACAGAGTCGGGCCCAAGAAAACCTGAGAGCCAGCAGAGGTTTGCTTTTGGAGCACAGCTGAAAAAAACAGGATTAAAACCAGTAGGGACACGCCCATGGCATTGGGGACCTGGGAAGTTTGGGGAGAATCAGCCATTTGATAAACATTAGGTATTTTTCTCCTCATGTCACGTCTACACTTCCGCTCAGGGCGTTTTGTGAACTGAAAACATTTAATAAATCAAAGGAGGGTGAATAATTTATCACATCCACTATGAAGATACTGGAATGTTTGTTTTTTCTGAGGATAATTTGGAGTAAGATCTATAACACAGACAGAAACTGACCAGGATTATGCTCTGGGTATGGAAAGCACCAACAGTTAAATCCTATGCCTTGTCCTGTGACCAAACGTGGCTTTTACCAAACGTAACCAACCAAATTTCTGTGATAATATTTCTGTCACAACATCTGCTGGTTTGAAGCTCCAATATTTGGTAAATACAAGTTAAATACTGCATTTATATCAACCTGGTCTTTTGCTAATACCAGCCAAGGAAGGATGGCTCCTGTCTTGTGTTTCTGTCTTGTGGACACAACAGTAAAAGTCATTTTCCAGGAAGCCTAAATACTGCAGGCTTTTAATAGTCTTTTAATAAATCAGTGGATTATTCAATTGGGAGATTAAAATATCCAATTTTGCCATAGGGGAAATAGCCCATAAATTATGGACTTGAGGTAAAATGAGCATTTAATCTGCATTATGAACAGCAAGAAGGATGGAAACAACCATCCTTCAACCATCCTCCAACCCAGATAATGAAGTAGTGATGCCTGTGCAGCATTCTCAGCTCACTGACAGTGCGAGCCATCACTATACACAGAGTAGTTCTGTGTGTGGGAAATTTGGGAATGTGTATTAATGTCTATATACAGTTAGACAGATATCAGTTAATGGCTGGACTCGATGATCTTGGAGATCTTTTCCAAGCTAAATGATCCCACGATTCTATATCAGCCTGAATACACAGTCCATCCCTCTGCCATAAACACCCCTCCCCTTGGAAAAACAACTCTCAACTCTTCTTACCATGATTTCCCAAGTCTCTACCCCACAGTGACTCCGCTCTGCAGGAGCCCAGTTAGTGGAAAACCAAAACATATTACAATTTATATTCACACATTTAATTGTTTGCTATGTTGAACTTCAGTTCTACAGAAGAGTTTCTGAATGACTTCAAATAGTTGCTGGATTTTAATCCCCAGATTCTGGAAAACCAAGACATTGGAGGTGACTTTGCTTGGAGAGATGAGTGTTGTCACACCAGCACATTACAAACCCCTGAGGAAGGTGAGTAAACATCTCTCAGAATTCATTTTCTCTCTGCTGTTAATAGACTTTGAGGAGATTGTATCACTCCTGCTTGTGGATTCACACCGTGGCTCTTCTGGAGGGGGATAAGCTGCTTCTCATGGAAATGGGAATTATTTCTTCTGCAGAAAAAATCTCTATTATGCAGACTGCTTCCCCAATTTCATCTGTATTCTTTACTTATCATCCAGTACAAAAGTTAATTATTTTCAGCTCGGTGTCCAATATTTACAGTACAGTTGGAGTAGCTGGCAGTGGGTGTAATGATAGATTTGCTGAGTGAAGCAATGTTTGTACTTATCCCATGGGAGCAGCCAGATACGGAAATATTCAGAACAAGAGAAAGTCTGCAGTTGAATTTATTACAATCCTGATGGTGCTCTGTTGATGGTGAACTGTTACAGCACTGACTGTGCACTGATGGTCCACAAATGCAAGACAGCAACAGTGTCCAACAGGGAATGGACCAACACAGGTTTTATCCCAAAATGCCAGTGAAGGCAAGAAATTACTTTTCTTACATTTCTCATCCTCATTTCTTGCATATCAGATGATAAATAACTTGACTGTCAGAGCCAACTCCACCACACCCTGTCACGGCACCCTCCTCCTCCTCCTCCTCCTCCTCCTCCTCCTTCTTCCTCCTCCCTCTGGGCAATTTCCAGAGGGAGGTGCAATTTCCATCTCCCATCTTCCAGCAATCCTCCTGTACTCATGGACCTGCGGATGCACCTCTCTGTGAAGCCAAGGGTTGCTGCTTCTGCCACTGCCTTGGATAAAAGCTGTGAAGGCATCAGGGAGGTCCTTCCTCATCAGCTGAGGGTTATTCACACAGCAGTTATCAGTGTGCACACCATGACTTTCACTGGTGTTATTCACCCCTAGGACTTTACTCCAGGGATGAGCTGGTTGGATCTCCATGTAGGCAATGACCACTGTAATTATCCCAGCTCAAATGTGCAGCTCCACCTCCCAGCATCGACTCCAAACACAGCTGAGTTTGTCAGGACCCTCCATTCTCCAGCTTTGCGATTAGAGCAGCCAAACCCAGCAGTTCCTGAGTGGATGAGCCAAGCTGGGGCTGGGAGGGAACAGCCAATATTTGCAGATGAGCAGCCCAGCTCCAAGCACTGGAATTCAACATCCGCCACAAGGTACCAGAAATTAGACCCATTTCTGGTGAGTTTATCAATGAAACAGCTTTGCCTGTTCAGAGCTGGGTTGGCACCATCCCAACGTTTCATTTGTTATAATTGTCATTGAAATGAAACATCTGATGAGACTCTGCAGGCCAAGGGACAGGAAGACACCTGCCCAACCCCCTGTGCCCACTGCATACACCAGAGATGGAACCACACAAACCACACAAACACTGGCAAAACATGCCTTGAATTCCCAACAATTATTGCTTTAAGCCTTGAAACAAAACCAGGTGTGTCCTCATACACTCTCTCTCCTCCTTGGAGAGGTGCTGGGAGCAGGATCCACTCTGGGATCCCTTCCTTACCTTCTTGGTGACGGTGTCGGGGGGCACGTCCCGCCGCCCCAGCGGGTACGGGTTCCACTGGCTGCCCACGGACACCTCGTCCTGCCCGTTGTCCAGGATGCTGCTCTGCTGCGACGGGGTCTGTTGCACAAATGTAGGGCAGCTTTTAGTCACCAAACAACCCCTCCTCAGCTTCACTTCAGTCACCAACCCAGTTAAATAAACCACACCGTGCTATTGCTACAACAGAAATCCTCCTAATTCCCCCAGTATTTCATTAACACGTGACCACATTGCTCAGGGACCCTCTGCAAGCAGGAAGGCTTGAAAGGCATAGGAGAGAAATAATGAGAATAATGAATGATGAGAGAAAAGAGAAAATTCATTTTACATGACTCAGAGAAACAAATTTGGTTGAAATCCCACATTTCAATGTGCAGTCTGCCCTTAACAGTGAGTTAGAACTTTCTTGCTGCTCGTTCAAGCAGCAAAGACTTTTTTAATGAAGTATTTGCCACAAAGACAAATTTGATGCTTTTATTTTCTGCAGAAAACATTCCCTGATGGCAAAGGTGAAGTTGTGACTCCTTGTCCCCCTCACTCAGCTCCATCTGAGGCTCCCAGACCTCTCTAGGCTAGGCCTGTCTTGTGTTAAACCAACAGATTATTACATGTACAATATTAACTTGTAATTAAATTTTTTTTCTGAATTTAAATGGCCATAACACACATTTAAAGTTTCCTAAATATTATTATCTTTCCCTTTTCTCTCCTGTTATAAATATTTCTTCCTTGTCCTTTTTCCCCCTGGTTATTTTACTCCTGTTTTCAGGACTTTGGAGGGTCTTTGTGCTTCTTCTGTCCCATCTTGATCTTCTGTTATCTGTCCCTCTGTTTCTCTACCATCACTGGAAATTTTAATAACATGGAGGTCAGACTTTCCAAAATTCCAGCATTGTGCTACCACTGACAGTACCTGAATGATGTGGTGCTTACTGAGTTCTGATTAATGAAAATCTACAAAGAAACAAAAATATCTATTTTTCCCCTCTGTCATTCAAGCAAATACTTCTCCAGTTTAGATTACAGAAAATCAGGATACACTTATTTAGATGGCTGAAGAATTGCATTTGCTTTGAAACATGAAAGCTGGGAACTTGTCAATTAAAAACTATTTTTTAACAGAAGTTTAAAAGTAAGAAGTAAATTGTGATTAAATCACACATCTCAGTGATTTATAAATAAACAATATTTCAACTCCGATTATTTCAAATGAAAGAAGATTTTCATTATAATTCTTTCATCATTCAAGTCTTCCAGAAAAATCATGGAAGTTGCTATTTTCCTTCTATTAAAAACCACTAGAAAAACATTTCCACTGTTGAAAGACCTCCTTGTGGAGCTTTCTTTACACCATTAAAATGGAAAATAAAGCCATCCCTTCCAGAGCTGTCCTGAGAATCCTCTCACATCCTGAGGGATCAGCTTCTGGGCCTCTCTGGATGCCCTCCCCATGCAGAGAGGGGGTAGAGAGGCTCATTCCAAAGGGAACCTCTCCTTTCCTCCTGACTGACTATTATTCCCAAGGGAGGTGGCAACAGACACTTCTGGGAATGGATTCCACCAAACCACAATCTTTTAAACCACCTAGGAGATGGATCCCAAAAATGGAAAAGTTCTGGGTTGTTTTCCCCACTGACTGATCTGCAGGAGGGAGTTTGCACTCGAGAGGGCAAAAGAAAAAATACAGAGGGTGTTTTCTGCTTTCTCAATAAACAGGTAAATTCTGTGGTTTCATTTTCTGCAGCAAAATGAATTTGACCCCTTGTAATATTGCTCATTTTCTGAGCTCGGACAGACTGAAAGCAAACCCACATCCATTAAATCTGGGTAAACAATGAAAAGCAGCAGTTCAAGCATTTTCTACAGTGAGCAGAATCAATGCAATAAACATTCTGAAAATAAGTTATTGGTAAACTTGATTTCCTGACCATCCACTGGACAACCAGACCTCACTCATTACTCTCTTGAATCCAGGCCACAGGAAGGAGGGAGGAGAAGGAGACAAAAATTAAACTGCTGTGGCCTGGATTCATCAAGAAATGCAAATCCTTTAGAACATATGAAGGAATAGAATAAAACAATACCAAATATACACGACATTCATTCAACAGTAATTTTCCCCTGCTTCCCAAACAGTACAATAATAGAATAACCCCCTTAATGCACTTCAGCATCACAGTTTATATGGGTATGGAGCAGTGAAATGCTGGTGGAAGAGAAAGCAGAATAATCCACATCAGAGCACACCCCAAAATATATCACTCTGAACAGATTCATTAATTCCTCAGACATCCATCCATTAATATCCATATTCATTTACAGCCTCAAATCCTGGAAGTGCTATAAAACACCGTGTTCCTGATGTGTGTAGCAAACCAGCACTGTTATTTGGGGTTGATGGCAAATGGATTTTTTCAAGGACTCGTGACAAGACCTGGCATGTACCCGAGGAGACAAACAGGTTCTTTGGAAGCAGAGACAACACTGGAATGTCACCCGTGGCCAACACACACCCCTGGGGGGCTTCTCGGTGCCACCCACCCAACAACAGAGAAGCACAGAGAGCGAGGGAGGGAACCCAGGGACAGCTGACGGCAGGTGGGATGGAGGTGACAGTGTATGGAGAGTCAGTCCCAGCAGGAAAAGCCTGACACTGATCTATGTGTGCTGCTATCTTGTCCCAGCTCTGCCCAGAACTCCAGCACGGAATTCGTGCTGCATCAGGGAGCTGAGCAGGGCCGAGGTCTGTCCAACCCACACAACCTGCTCATGCTGCTGCCATGAAATCACCCTATTCTTCTCACCAGCCTTGGATGTAAGCTCTGAAACAGGGCCTTGGAAGCCTCCTGTGGGAATCTCTGGCCAGGGCTGGTCCTGCCTGGGCAGGTGCCAGCGGTGCTGGAGGCCAGCCTGGCAATTACCAGCACAGCTGATCCCATGGCAGCGCCTGGATCTGTGCTCTGCTGCCCTTTAATTAGAGATGCTGCTAATGTGTCCCAACAGCTCCTGCTGCCAAAGCAGGGAGAGGCCAAGTGAGGCTTGTCCCTCCTACATCGCCCTCACCCTGGGCATGTGAGTGTGGCCACATGGATGCACAGGTGGTCTCAGGATCTCCTCTTTGACACTGCAAATCCTGCAGCAATGTCCCTCTCTGGCTTGTCCTGTGTGCTTTTCCCTTCAAACATTTGTTTAGGATGATCTTGTATGTCTGTACTTGTCAGCAATATACCAAGAACAGATGTAAAATAGTAAAAAATGAGGTTATTCTCTTTCTACATGTGTTACTCAACCAAAGTTTAAAATGGGTTTGGGTGTGGTAAGTGTGCTCAAAGCTCATCAGCTACTACAGCAGAGCCAGTTAATGCTCAAATATTAAAATCCCTGTCTCCTGGGGCCTATTTAAATGCATATTCAACATTTCTACAGTCCTTTTTTTAAGCTCAGTCTCAGAGCAAAGCACGTTCCCCATTTCTCTGCACAGATTGAGAAAATGATGGCACCGGTCTGGAGGAGGAGAGCAGGAAGCAGGAATGACAGCCACGGGAAACCCAGAATCCAAAAAGCAAGGGAGGAAAACTGTACCACTGCCATCCTTGCTTTTTGCATTGGGTCTGTATAAGCATGAGTAGTAGGCAAAAGCTAAACCAGGAGGAAGCAAGAAGTTAATTTATTGGGAATGCTGGTGGTGCTGGCTAGCCCATACTTACTTTCGGTAGAGGTAGCTCTTGAAGCATTTGGTTTTCAAATTTAGATTTAGTCTGCAAGTTTAAAGTCATGCTTCGGCCGGCATGCATTGCTGAAACCCCTCCAGAGTGCAGCATGCCAAGGCTAACTGTGTGGTGTTTGTAAGCAGCGGTCTGAGTAGAGGAAACAACCACGTGACAGATATGAACACACATGCTCATCGAATTAAGTATCACACATATATGGTTAAGTTCACAAAGTTTTAGTTTAAGCAAACAAACAGTCCCAAGAGATCAATAGCTCCCCGGGGCATGCACTGGGTCACACAAAGCAAGTACATTGCTCGTTGTACATAAAATGGATACCAGAAACGACTTCCACGCTGACAGCAGATGAGGTGTGTTGGTATCTGGAGTTGTATCACATGGTACAAGTCTTTATTTTGCAAATATGGCCAAATTTAGGCTTGGCTGCGCAACCACAGATAGGCCTGGGATGTGTCTGGCACCAAGGAGCAAACCCTGGGGGAGAAGGCTCTGCTCCATCCCAGGAGCACCTGCTCCTTGCCCACCGCCACGGTCCTGCACAGGCCCGACCGGCAGCGGCTTTTCCTGGAGCAGCTGCTCCATGGGAATGCCCAGGGCTTCACACCAGCAAAGCCTCCACCAGGCAGCTCAACTCCTGAGAGATTTGCAACCAGCAGTAACCAGCTCACAGGGATTGCTGCCAACTCAGCAGAACCACCAGTGTCAGTTTTCATGAGTTCAGGTATTCCTTGATACACACTGTAAGCTAAGCATGAAGATATTTCTTAAACAAACAGCATCTGGGAAGTGTTTATTTCCACCAGAAATGGCTCTGCTCAGGGTGCACTGGTTTCCCTGGGGAGAATTTTCCAATTGGTTTTACACAGCACAAGGAAAAGAGCTGAAGGGAGGAAACACTTCAGCCTTTGAGCCCATTTTTAAACTTAACCCATTGGGCTCTAATGATATTTTAATAAGTATCACATCCGAGCAACTGGGAGGTGAGGAGTGCAGTAACACCAAACTCAGGAGGCTCTGGCATAAAGTACGTAAATGGACACGTTTGGCAACTACCTTCTTATGCATTTCATGACAGTAATTTTCCACAACCACTTCAGATCATGAAGTAAATGCAATTCATGAAGTAGGTCATTAAATAGGTAATGACTGAAATCATGCACTAAAGGACTTGTATTCTTCGGATAGAAGGCAAATCAGCACAACTTCCTACAGCTAAAAGGAATAATGATCACATTCCTCGATCAAAACAGTGGCAGTGGGTACCCAGTGCTATTTCTCAGTCAAGAGACACCTTTAAACCCCCTCTAACAGTGATACGAAAGCTAAAATACATTATTTTACTTATTCTCGGTGGTGGTTTTCTTTGTTCACTTTTACTGCCAAGATGTGCCCAGAGCTCCCAGTTGTGCCTGACGTGGTGGGCTCCAGCAGCACATCCACATCTATGAGCAGGACAGAATCTCATGGGCTTTCATCATTTTGGGTACTGCTGCAGGAGCCACCACCTCAGTGACCAGAGTGGAGCCTCTGAGTTTATCTGGGACCCTTCACTCCAGCTGAGCACCCCTAGGGCCCTTTGTGGGCCAGCTCCTCTGACAACGAGGCAGGAATTGCATTACTGGGAATTCTGGTGGTCACCACTGCACGTGCAAATAGTTTGACATACCGAAACACACAACTAAAGGCATTAATTGCAGAGAAATGCCAAACATACCCTGTCTAACCTTCTAGCTTCTATATGTCTAAGTAGCTGTTGTCTCCAGTCAGCGGGCATTTTAGCACAGCTCTCATTTCCCTTCCCAGGGGGAGGCCTTGGCTTTATATCACTGTTATCGGAAGGCTTGTCGCCATAGTTACCCAAGTTATAGTCTGACGGAATCTTTTCCAGCAGCGCTGCCATTGTCGGCCTCGCTGAGACGGGCCGGGTTTGGGATGTGCCGTAGCTCTCTGTACTGTAGCTTCGTGCAGACAAGGGCCTCCTTTGCGTGAGGTTTTTAACTGGGAAGCTCCCAGTCTGGGCTTTCACCTCCTGGTAGGAAGGGAGCTCGTCTTCGTAGCGCCCGTTGCGCTTGAGGAACTGTGCCTCGGGCACGGCCATGCCGCTCTGGCGATCGGCCGCCCCGCGGAACGGGGCCCGGCCGTACCTGTCGCCCGGGGGCAGCTCCTGGGGCTCACTGACCCTGCGGAACATGGACATCTCGGTGGAGCTGACCAGGGAATCCGCCCTGCGCAGGAAGCCCGGCCGTGCGCTCTGGCTGCCGAAGGGGGGCCCCATGGGCTCCTCGCTCACCGAGGGCTGCGAGAAGGAGAACACGGGATCCACGGGCGCATACCCGCGGTACCCCCGCGGGCTCACCAGCTCCTGGGGCAGGTTTTTGGGTGGCTGGGGGATGTACTCGGGGTTGAGCTGGAAGGGCGGCAGGAGCCTCTTGTCGGCCGTGACCTCCACGGCACCCTGGGGGTTGAAGCTTTGGTCGAACTGGTAGACTTTCTTGGTGACGGACGATTTCTGCTGCGGCTGCACCTTGACACTGCCGTAGGTCAGCAGCTCGTCGTCCAGCATGGGCACGGACTGGCTGCGGGACATGCTCAGCATGCCGTGCTCTGGGCCCAGCAGCTTGTCCACCCTCTCGTGAGGCCCTACAGTATCATTCCCGGATGCATAGTTTTCTAGGGGGATGTTGTACACCTTGTATGTACCAATGTCTATCTCATCAATACTCTGAGACTTCTTAAACTTGTTCGTTTTTAAATCCCTCATCATTGGGGAAAGCCGCTCCGTGCTCTTGCTGATGGAAATGACGTTTTTGGAAGGATCTGGGCGACAGTGGATATGGGAAAAGACATTTGTGAGGCTTCTGTTAGCGTTTGAGTCGTGATATTCCCATGCTATTCCTGGAGGGAAAGTACTTGTCATTTCAGGAGACTCTTTGACATGATCTTTCCTCTCAGGCAAAGGGCTGGTGGTGGGGGTGCTTTCCAGTTTGGAAGGAAAAGCTGTCCTGTCTTCAAAGGGACTGGGGGTTCTGGTCCAATTTTGCCAAGGATTGGGAGGAGGCACTTCAGATTCGTGTGTGTTTCTGAGCGTCGGCTGCTCCAGCTCCAAGGGGATGCCAACTATCCTGTCCTGTCGGATCAGCGGCCTGCGCCCATGTGCGGATGAGCTCCTCGATTTGGTGGTGAGCAGGGGGTTGGCGTTTGGGTTCTCCACCGCGCTCTCCTCGGCCACGAACCCCGTGTTGTCGTAGTGGGAGCCATCGGTCCAGCCCTCGGCGAACGTGTCGCTCAGCGGGCGCCGTTCCGGCCGTGCCGGCAGGTTCCCAGCTGGAGCTGATTCCCGCTGGCTCAGCAATGGCTTGGTCTCCAGGGGCTGTGGGAATGACTGTGCCAGCCTGCAAAGACAAGAGAGAAGGGAGCAAGATAAAATGCCCTCTATCCCAGCACATAAACCATCACCAGAACGACAGCAGAATCACAGAGTCACAGAATCTGCTGAGCTGGAAGGGATTCATCAGGATCATCAAGTCCATCCCTTAGCCCTGCACAGGCCCATCCCCAAGAGTCTCACCAGGTGCCCCAGAGGATCATCCAAATGCTCCCTGAGCTCTGCCAGCCTTGGTGCTGTGACCACTGCCCTGGGGAGCCTGTTCAGTGCCCAACCACCCTCTGGGGAAGAACCTTTTTCTAAGATCCAAACTAACCCTGCCCTGACACAACTTCAGGTCATTCCCTTGGGTCCTGCACCTCATGCCCACAGAGCAGGGATCAATGCCTGCCCTTCTTCTCCTCACGAGGAAGTTGCAACTTCAATGGGGTCTCCCCTCTTCTCCAGCCCTCAGCCTCTCCTCACACGGCTTTCCCTGAAGGACCTTCCCCATCTCCATTGCACTTGTTTGGACACTCTCTATGAGCTTAAAGCAATTTAGCACTCTCCCATCTATGCTCTGGCTTTGAGATTGTGCTATGAGACATGAACCTCATGCCACTGGCTTGGCACAAAGGTGGCAGCAGGTTTTTGCCCTGGAGCACAGACTGTGTCAGTACACACATGGAGAAACTAAGAAGTCAGTGACAGGCCTGGCTGGCTCCATGCTGTGTTCACAGAAATCCAGCTGAACATATTTACCTGCTGTAAAAATAATCTGTGAGTGCAACAGAAGGTTTTTCACACTTACATTACTTTATTTTTAAACAAAGATACCAGATGCAGTTTGTGTGTGTTCTCACCACCAAGATTTTATGCATCTCCACTGAGAAGGCTCCAGCCTCTCTTTAACAGGATAGAGCCTGTGGATGGAACCACGTGAGGTGATTTATGGCAGGGACAGACAGGGCAGGGTGTTCCTGGTGTGGTACAAGGGTGTTCTCAGGCTGCTGATGGCTCATTAGAGCTTTCCAAGAACTTTCCATGTTCTTGGAATCCAGGGCAGAGGGAGGCCAGGACGCAATAATGGGACGCAGACTGCAGCCAGATTCCAGGAGCTTTAATGCCTGGTTATAGCCCAGAGTTGATCCACCAGCTATGGAATTACTGGTGTTTATGGAGTATGGATATATGGCCAGCTCTGCACAGCCTGGGCTGTGATTGGCCACACACAAATGGGAAAAAATGTGGAATTTTTAAACAAAATGCCTAAACAGATCAACAAAGAATTACAGAATATGCTGAGTTGGAAGGGACCCACCAGGATCATCAAATCCAACCCTCAGCCCTGCACAGGCCCATCCCCAAGAGCCTCACCAGGTGCCCCAGAATATCATCCAAAGCTCTGGTAGCCTTGGTGCTGTGACCACCGCCCTGGAGAGCCTGTTCAGTGCCCAACCACCCTCTGGGGGAAGATACAGTCACTTTGAGTGCATATGAAAAGACAAAATGCCACCAGAAGAGGTGCTAAGAAAGATTGTCACACCTGTTCCCCCACAGAGAGTTATTCACTGCTTCTTTAGCCGTTGTCTGCAAGGAGCCCATTTTAACATGCGCATTGGAGGACCCTGAGGAAGCCTGGGAAGGGGAATAGTCTGAGTAAGTGCCTGAGGAAACGCTGTTATTCAGACAATGGATCTTATCTGCTTCAGACTCATCTGTCGACTCTGAAACAAAACACAGCAAACGCTTTCAGAGTGTGGCATTTGAGAATTAAACTCCAGAAAAATACATTTCTAAACTGGAACTATGAACATATATATATGTGTGTGTGCGTGTACAAATACGCATAGGATTTGTTTTAAAATCACAGTGAAGGGTAGAACATCTCAAGGAACGTCTCTCCTTGCATATCACACACGTTTTCATCTCAAAGGTTGTTCTAAACCAAATCAGTACCTTTCTTGTCTTTACCCAGCAGAACGAGTTTGGGGGGGTACAACGGAGTCTCAGGAATGGAAGGACGGAGCTCCCCTATCCTCATCTCACTGGCAGGATGTCCATAGGCATCCTGAGGAATATAAAAACGAAGAATAAACACATGGATGTCCCCAGGCATCCTGGCGAACATAATAACAAAGAGTAAACACAGGAGACAGAATCCACTTCAAACTGCAAGGCACAAACATTTCCCGGCCTTCTCCTCACAACACACCAACCCCACCATACGGGCAGCGTCTAATCATGCTGATTTGTCAGCTGAAAGTTCTAATTAGTCCTCCAGAAATACTCCTAAAAATTAGTGGTGATGTGCTCGTTCTGGAAATGTGGACAAAACAGATGGAACTTGTGAGATATATCAAGGCCATGTAAACATTTTGGATGAAGTCAAGGTCACAAAAACAAGCTGCCAGCAGAAAAAACCACAAATTGGGAGTAAACAATTGTTATTTCAGGAGGAAACGTTCCTCGTTCAGTTATTCATGGCACAAGTCCCTCTATAGATTCAGCTCTCCCTGTAGCTATATTTAATTAAAATGGCTTTGTCTATAAAGGGTTTGTGGTTAAATTAAAATTATTCAGATTTAATAAACTTCTCACTGAGAGTTCAGCACATCTTGACCTTCAAAGGATATATACAGAAAATAAAATGGAAAAATGTTGAAGGGAAGTGGGATGTACTCTTAGAAAGAGGTATTTTACATTAGGACATTTAGGCTCACAGTATAGTTAGAAGGCAGTGAAGTCAGAAGGAGGAATTTTGGAGAGAATGTTCAGAGCTGAGGGTGGGTGTCCTGGGGAGACAGGGAGGGGTGTGACATGTACTACAGGGATGCCACTGGTACCCTGCCCTCAGGAGGAGACTGGAGGAAAGGGAGCCTGAAGGATGGGCAATCTGGGAAACCCACTTTATGGGTGGTGCCCAACTCAGGAAAATATCATGGAAAGGGAACTGGTGGAGATGGAAAGCTGAGCCAATGCCACCAGGATCCTTGTGAGAGGAGGAGCTGTCATTCTGTAAGGAGGATGGAGGCTGGAGAAGGAGAGTATGTACTAAAATAGAGGAAATTTTGGAGGGATATTAGGGTAAAATCCATAATTAATAGTATAAATGAGGAGAGAAACAGGAGAAATGTATTTAGGAGGGAGCTTACACTAATGGGACACCATGAGGGTCTCCGTGCCCTGACACATTGCTGGGAAAGGTTCTCCAGTGAGTTCGAAGAGTGAAGTTAATAAGGAGAGATGTAATAATTAAACAATTTAAAGTGGAGTACCCAAACCAAACACACTCACTGAGTTATTAATGTATTTGTGTGGAAGGAGGTGTGGGAGAAGATGAGGATTTGAGCCATTGTTAAAATGTAAAATGCTCCAATATAAATTTTTTTTGCTTTTACTCATCAGGAGCAAACTTTCATAGGTTTCCTCTCCATTCCCTGATTTTTGTAGTAACAGTGGAAACAGAGATTTGTAGAACCCTTTGCCATGCAATTTATCCTCGAAGAATATAATTATATTTACACAACAGTTATTTTAATCCTTCTGTACTAGGTGTTCTACTGGAGGCAAGACCTTCCTAAAACAGCAAAAAACAGGCATCCCCAACTTAATTAAACCCCTCAGGACTAACATTTAAGGGAATAGTTACATGGTGTGATACAGCCAAGACTTTCCTTCCCCATGCAGAGATCCCAGGATGTCTGTGGTGTTCTGTAGGTGACACAGTGATATCCACACAACTCAACAACAGTGCAAAAGCCTTTCCCCAGTGCAGCACAACCGGTTGCCAGTGTAAGTGTGACCAACCTGTGCAAAACCAGTTATTTTTTTGAGAAATAAAGAGTGCCCAGTGCTGCAGAGTGTGAAATTCTCCCCTTATGACACCCATGGTGCCTGTCAGGGGTCTGGTTGTACCTCTGAACTCTTGGTGCCCTCGGCTTTCTCCTCCCTGTCTGAGGCTTCCAGAGGTGATTCCTGAGTGTTCTCTGTCTCAGACAGGGGATTCTTTGGAAATTCTTTACTTTCTTTATCTTGAACCTGGAATCCCAACATTATGCCATGAACCTTTCAAGAGTTATAAGTTATAACCCCCCTTGCTGTAAGAACCAGCAGTTCCATTTTTGACACGATGATGAACACAGGGTTTTATTTCAGATGCATGATTTTAGGAACTTTTCTACCTTATAGCATTTTCTTTTAAGCCCTAACCCAGTTATTCCAACAAAAATTGATGCACGTTTGAAAGAACCAGTCTGGCATTTGTGAACATGCCATGAACGTGAAAGATGTGGTAAAACCCCTAATCATATTCCATTTAATTCCACTCTCTTTAAGAGGACCTTTTCTTACAAGCTCAAGAACAAAAAGGTCACTAATAGGGAAAAAAAGTATAGTGAATAGGAGCAATTGTAAGAAGAAAGGGAAGAGATAAATCAAATTGTGTTGGGTCAACTTATTCCTCAGGACTAACTGGAGAAGGATACAGGGAAAGGACAGACAACTGTAGTAAGCTGTTTCCCAAGAGAAAACACATGGGAAAGACCATTAAAACAACTGAGGAAGAGAAATATCAATGAGAATTCAGGCTGAGAACACAAGAACATTAAATTATAATCTGGAGAGATGCAATTTCCCCTTCCATAGAATCCCAGAATGGTTTGGGTTGGGAGAGACCTTAAAGCCCATCCAGTTCCACCCCTGACATGGGCAGGGACCTTCCACTATCCCAGCTTGCTCCAAGCCCCATCCAACCTGGCCTTGGTCACTTCCAGGGATGGAGCAGCCACAGCTTCTCTGGGACACTTGAGAAGTTGGATATTCTTAGAATATTCTTGATATGGACTATAAAGACCTGAATTGCTCATTTGTGGGATTCTTCACTGTTTCTCATGAAAAGGTGACACAAAATTATCCCAGCCTCCTATTTGCCCAAAACTCACAGGTTTCAAAATGACCTAGAACAATGAAGAGGTTTGCTATAATTGCTGACTAATCAAGACATTGTTTGCTTATTGTAAGTGAAGGTGGAGGATGGTGCAGGGGATTTGAAATGCAGCTTCTTACTCATTTCAGATGATCCCTTTAATTATTTAGAAACACTTTGTGAAGAGACGTGTAAATTAATTGCAAGAAAACCCAAACGAGATCAGAACAGAAACCATCTTATCTGGTCTCTGAGGATGAGAAGTGAGCATTGCACCTGAAATTAAATTACCTTGGTATTAGAAACTGCCTTCAGTCTTTAGCTCTATGAGAACACACCTGCAATTTCAAACTGTCTTTTAACTTGAGGCTCGAGATCGTGTCTCCTAATTATCTGAAAAGCAAACGGAGCTTAATTATGTTTTATTTAATGTGTTACAACTGAAATCAGGCCAATATTGTTCACAAAATCATTCACACTTTTTCTACAGTTTCCCCCATGTCTTTATCCTCCTGCAGGAAGCCAAAGAGAGAAAAATGTATTTACAACTCCCTGCTTGGAGCCAAAACAACTTCCCAGTGTCAGCACTGGGTGGAGGGACAAGAACACTCCTTTTCTTTTCCTTACCTGATGAAATGGTTGGGTTACTAGTCTTGACTATGTACCAAGGAAATTAAAATGTGAAAAAGTCCTCTCTCCTCACTATTGTAATAACAGAAGATGAAAACCCCTCTCCAGTGATCCATGGGAACAGCGGTGCACTCGCAGCAGTTGCTTGTGGGAGACAATTAAGGAGGAAATTGCACTCCCATTATTTAATTGCACTTCAGGAATACCACGGGGTCTGTCTGCAGCAATTCAGCTGGTTTTGCAGAATGCTTTTTGTGAGACTTGTGCCACTGACACTCGTGTAGCTCCACACAAAACCAGAGCAACTCATATTTTATGGTGTCACTGCCACTTACTCCTTCCTTACACCTCCCTAATGTAGGATCCCTGGGCTCTGCCTGCTCACAGGACCCTGTGGGGTTCAGCTCACTGGGATTTTCATTTAAAAACTTCACATTTAATTGAACAAGTGTTAACAAACCAGCAATGACTTCTGGAGGCTGCATCACCAACCACAGCCATGGGACCAACTACCTAAAGTCTCTGTCAGGCCCTATGGATCAAGTTCCTGATAGACAATTCTTAGGGATAATTAAAACCCACAGAAAGTTGTTAGGAATATTCAAGTTCAAAAGATAGATAATACAAAATAAATTCTATATCTTCAGCATCAAGAGAAGAACATGTAAAGACTCCTGGCCCAAGTTGTTTAAAGCTCAGATTTACACAGTAAGAACTTAATAAACAAAAAAGAATAATGGTGGAATTTATGATTTCAGATTTAGATGAAAACATGAGTGATTTAACTTAAATATCTTAGTTTAACTGAAATATTTAACTGAAATATTTTAGTGCTAATTGAAACTGTGCCTAGATTCGAAGGAAGTCTTCTGAAGCATCTTAAAGGGAAAACTTTCGTTGGTTATTTTGGTAAGAAATGAAAATGATTAACTGCAAATAGCCCTGACAGAGCAGCTACAGCTGAGCATTGTAAAAACAGCCCGTTTGCATTACAGATATGGAAAATTTAGGAAGAACAATTCCTGCACACACAACAAGCCAGAGACAATGATATTTCAAGGACAATGAGTTTCTCCTAATGTTTAGACAACAAAGGAGTAAAAAAAGAATGTGAGAATATTTTTCCTCACTTATTTCTTTTCAACATTAAGGCTTTGTAAAGATTTTCAGGAATGCTGGTATTCCTGTAGACCTATCCAAGGTTATAAACCATCAGGGGAAGAGAATTCCCTATTTCTGAACAGTGCCTGCACACAGTCAGGGTGTCCATGGGTAGATGAGATCAAGTTCCTGCTATTTGGAACAGTAGGATTTAAGAATTTTGCTTCCTAAATGACTATATTTGCCTTGGAATAGAACTTTGTCCCTGTTTTTGCTGATCCACTGCAGAGCTGGATTCTGCAACTCACTGCAAGTCTCTGTTCAGGGATTCCTGATCCAAAGCTCCCTGCAGTGGGAAAAGTTCTCCTGCTGCCTTCATTAACTTTGGACAAGGTTAATTGGGTATCTCCTAGGAACAGGAACTGAGGGAGAAGAACTTCATGGCACAGTAGGGTCAGACACAACCAAATGGTTGGTCATTGACGAATCAGAGGCAGGAATGCACGCACTGAAGGCTGAGATGGAAACAAGCTGGGTCCTTCCTCCTGCTCCTGTGCAAGTCTCATATCATTAAAATTGTCTAAATCAACAGCAAAATTCAGATCTAGGTAGACTTCAACTCAAAAATTCAGCAGTATTGGGAAAAACAGCAACTCAATATACACCCGAATGAACTTTAGAGGTGAAAATAGAAACTCTCAGGTATGAGGTCACAGCAGATGCAGAATTATCATTTGGAGGAGTAGTGTTCAAACCTGGGACTCTGGAGAGGAACAAGGAGCCTTTACATTACCTCCACTGAAATCTCCTTGGGTGCCATGGGCCATTTGTGCTCATACTTGTCTTTCACCCCTTGGTCACTGTTGGCAGCGGGTGCAGAGTTCTCGGGCCGCACTCCATGGCTGGGTTTGCCCACCAGGTTTTGGACTGATTTGACCATATTCTTTAAATCCTCCGGGTAGGGAGTGGGGTAACGTTTTAGATTTATTTCAACCTGAACATTCACAAAAAGAATTAAAGCACAAACACAAAATGCAAACAGCATGCAAACTAACCCGTGGTTACAGTACTGGGGCTCAGGGCACATCCCTCGCATTTGGGATCACTTGAGGTGTTACACAGAGATATCTGCACGAGGTTTGGGACTGAAATGTGCTCAGTTACTCTATGTCAACCTTTAATGGAATTCCAGGGACATAAAATAACGGATGGGAATGGCTCCCTACAATCTATTACCCTGGGAGACTGTTGTATGTTAATCCTGCACTTTGCTTGAGAGTGCTGACATATTCCATCCCACTTTCCCAAACGATGCTGGTGTAAATGCAGAATTAATTTAGCTACTTTCTATGTACTCAATTAATCTGAATTATGGATGGCAGCTGAGAGCAGGAGCTGGTCCCCTGGGAGCCATTTGCTCCTGGAGATGGATAATGTTCCTACTGGCACTGAAGTGCATCCTAGTCTTCTCTCACACAGGAGAACAGACTCAAACCACCACAGACAGGTTCCCCACAAGGCCTGAATGGTGCTTTAACTGACTGACAGACCCACAGATTTTCTAGAAGACCCCATATTTTGAATTTCTAAGTTTTCCAGAGAGATCTGTGCGTGTCAGGATAACTGTGAAACACATTTACCACAAGTATTTGGAATCATTTACCACAAAGCAGATTTTACCTCATCGTGGAAGTGACGTAAGAAAAGGAGCATGTTTTAACAGCTCGCTGTTACAGTGGGAAAAATGTAATTCTGGATTCCAATGAAAATGGTCTGTCAATACGAATATTTCAGAGGCAAAAGAATGATTGGTTCAGAAAAAAAACCCTGTATGAAATTCTGGCATAGAGTTCTGAACCACAAGGGAATAAACACTACAGGGAGTAGGTTCTGACATGACTTGAACAGAAAACGTCCAAATGTATGACTGGGATGTCATATGTTAATAAAGAATTCCAACAGAAAAGATAAATTGAGGCTGGAAAGCAGCAATAAAGTCCTGGGTGATTTACAGTTGAAAGAAATCATATTTAGAGCTGGCCTAATTAGGCAGTTGGTTTCTCCTAGAACTCAGACCATGGTTTAAGGGGAAGGTCTGAGACAGACACGGCCAAGAGCCAGCAAATCCTCAGTAAAAACTAGTCAGGGAAAATTAAATGGAAGACTTGGATGAGAGAGACAAATCCTAGACAGGGATTTCATCAGAGTTTGCCATCACTGTGAGTATTAATATTAAACAGCAGAACTCCTGGCAGCTGTGGAGGGTGAGAGCACTAGAATGCAGATATTTTCCTCACTGATCCAGAGTTATCATCAGAGAGGAAATCTGTATTCCCTGACAGTACTATTCCTGTGGGTTTAATGATACATCAAAAGTAGCCTAACCCCGAAGAGAGAATTCTCAAAGTTCAAAATTCTCAATGGAAAAAGTTATTGAACAATTCCAATTACCAAATCTATCTTAACATATGTTTGGCTGAGAGTTCAGTTTTAACTCTGAAAGATAAAAAGTGAAATCTCTGTATAATCTATGCTGCTATAAATGCTGCAGTGTTGGTGGTTACTGCCTGTTGAGAATTTAAATTAACCTGCAAATTTCTCCCTTAAAGGTCTGGTGAAACTGATAAAAATGTACAAGTTGAAACCTCCCCATGAACTATTGCAACCCATGGCTGGAGGGACTCACCTGAAGTTCTTAAAAGGTTGTAGCAATGAGCTTTTAGCTCCTGTGTGGGCATCTAAACAAATCCCATCTCATCCCACCCTCTGCCATGGGCAGGGACCCCCTCCACTAGCTCAGGTTTCTCCAAGCCCTGTTCAACCTGGACCTGGATATATTTTAGTGTCAAACTCTTCGTCATGCTCTGCTGCTTCCTAATCTTCTACAGAACTAGGACAATAATTCAAAGCCTCCCAACACTTTGTGTTAATTCTGGTTTTGTGACAAGACCCCCGGCACAGCAGGAACCTGAACAGGAATGGGTTTATGGGTATTTAGAACACAAAAATAGTTAAATTCAAGACCTGTATACTGGACCCTGTCCATAATATGTTAATACCAGAATAAACCAAACGGAACGTACTTTAACTTTCCCTGGGTTTTCTTCCTCTTCCTTTTTGTCTTCAAACTCAAAGGCCACAGTCATGCGCTGCTGCCTCTGCTCCTCCCACAGCGTGGGGTTAAAACTGTCACTGTCCGACTGGAAATCTGCAGAGAAAGGGAAAAGAGCACAGGAACCAGCAGTTGGTGCACCCAGAGGATGGAAAGGGCCTAAAAAGGCTTTTCTTGGTTGATCGCACAATCTTGGGATATGGTTTGAAAACATGAGGGGGCAATGACAGTGGGAACTGAGAAACCATGACAGAGTTCTTATAAAAACTGTGGTGAGGGGGATGGGAAGCAACAGGGTTTTGGGGCACACCTGGAGCACAGGGGGAGTATGAAAACTCTAATTTAATGCTGCTGTGTAAGGAGCCAAACCCTGAATTAGGCAGGCTGGGACCCCTGAACTCGCCTCCCTGTGTGCTGGACACCCCCAGCTACAGACGGGGCCAGTCTCTGGCCAACAGGCAGAGGCCACAATTCCTTCCCATGCACACTCAGATCCAGATCCAAACTGCTTTTACAAAGCCATTCTGGAAGTTAAAGTGCTTTACAAAATGTAAATCTGACTGGCCTGAGAATGACAGGATTCCTCTGCGTGTGCCAAAATAGTGATGCCTGTGTGTCCCATTGGCTTGGCATGAGGAGACACATACGGAGCCACGTTGGAACCCTCCCTCTGGATTTTCTCCTCTCTCTGGATCTCCTCATCCCTCTGGATTTCCTCCAGACTCTAAACAAACCCCATTTCTGCTTTGCTGCTGTTTTACCTTCATCACTGCGGGGCTGTTGGGGGAACATGTAGTTGGTAAGCACTCGCTGCTTGGTTTCAGGATGTGCCTCCGTCTGCAGCGGGATGAGAGCCTTGGACTGGAGAGGAAAACCAGAGCAGTTACCTCAGAGTGTGAGCTGAGATGGGATTCAGCTTCTGATAAATAGGGAATACAAAGGAATCTACAATTCCATGTGAAAAGAAACTCCCTGTGGACTAAAACAAGTGTTAAGCTGGTGGCAATACCTCCTCTCCCACTCCTCCCTTCTGCAATTCCTGCAATTCCCACCAGGATGGGCAGAACATCAGGAATACTGCAGGTGTTCTGGGCTGAGGAAGGAAAAAGGTCAGAGCACAGAGCTGTCACTGCACGGTTAATCCACAGCAGAACCCAATGTCTCCAGTTACAGGAGCCAGAGAAAAATTCCCAGTTGGGAAAAATATTGAAAAGAAAAATCAAGAATTTTCAGGAAGATTTAAATGGAATGTTAAATAGAGAGTACTGTTAATTTTAAATTTAAAATATGATTTAAATCTCCTCAGATGACTTTATATATTTTTCTTTTTTTTTTTTTTTTTTTTTAAACATTTTATGTAAAACACTCCTACCAGGGCTGTGATCTAGTTTAAGCCAGAGCTAATAAGGAGTTAATGAATGATGGAGGAGTAGATTCACAGTAGTTGCCTGTTCTGAGAGTAAACCTGCTGCAACATACTGGAGAACTTACATGGAGCCACTCTGAGTGTTCAGATGTTGTGTATCACTTCAACTGATGCAATTTTATTATTGATTTATTCTAATGTAACACCAGGAGTGACTGTCATAGTCCACAGAATGGAAACTATTTCATCCTACACCAAAGGAAAGTCAAAATGCTGGAAAACCACATATATTTTAAAAGGAAGAGGCTGTTCTGTGCCTGGGCTGCTCAGCCATGCAACGTTAATTTTTTAAATGGAAATTAGAGTGAAAAAACCCAAGAATCCCAATTTAACACATTAAAATTTAATCATAATTTTCTATTACCCCTCCCTTCAGCTTTCCCATTTTTGGCTCAGCTATAAAAGTAAATGTACATTTAAGACATTTTAGTGCTCAGCTGCTGGTTGAACTGTTGCATTTCTTAGTGTTCGTGTTACATAATTTGCTTTAAAATAGAACCCCAAACCAAAGCCCTCAGACAAAGAAGGGCACACTCAGATTTAAGAGGAACATAAATGAGTTTTCTCCAAACCAAGACTCAGAGTTCTTGTGCATCTTTGACACGGTTAGACTGCCCCTGAGTACAATGAAATTTAAAATATGCAGGAAGGGAAGAATGGACAGGAAAAGGGAAAAGAAAGACAAAAATAGAGGTGTAGATGGAGCAAATGATGGGACAAACCACTAACAAGGTTGGTAGCAAAGTCTTATATATTGAATTTATTTTTAAAAACTACTCTCTTGCTACTTTTGCCCTTTATTTACTACTTTTGTAAGGACAGAGAAGCTTGTCCAGGTGAAATAAATCCTGCAAAGCAGCTTTTTTCCAAGTTTCTAAAGGACAGCCAGAAGGATCTACACCTCGATATCAAAGTATAAAGCTGTGCTGGGAGAAAACACTTCCAAAATTTTGATACAACCATAGATTAAATGACAGGTTTCATTTACAGCCCTTCCAATGACCCCTTAAATAAGAAAAATACGAATATTGAAAGGCATTACCTGGTTGTCAGAAAGCCACAAAGCTGCAAGTTCTTTGAGTTTAGTAAAAGTGAAGGGTAAATTCTTCAGTCTGTAAATGATAATATTGGAACAACGTGAATCCTTCATTTCCACAACAGTTTGTTTAAAGATTTGTCTGCAAGATGTTTGTCTTGATCATACTGAAACAGCGGTAATTTCATAGCTTTTTTCCTCATTTTTTACTAAAATACAATATTTTATTAAGGGCATTCCATGTTAAGAGAGAGATTGAAATCTAAAATGCTGGCATCACACCCTAAGGTACTGAGGAGTTACTGATATTTTGCCTTGGCAAAATGTAACCAAAATTACGCTCATAACACAGAAAACAGAAAAATCTTCATCCCAGGAAGACTTACAGGAAAGACCTCACTGTACCTTCCAGAGCTCTTTTTATTGGACATTGGAGTTTCGTAACAGAATCACTGAGATCATGGAAAACTCATTTTTGTTGAAATGTCAGACAAAGGATTAAAATAATATAAATATTCATAGTGAACCTAAATGACAAAATTAAACGAAGCAGCAAAAAATTAGCATTTTAATTAGACATTTAAACACATCTCCTAAAAGTGATCTGCATGAGGGAATGGGAAATGATGACACGATGTTTGCAGAAATTCATTCATGTTTTTCCCACTAACTCATTATGAACATGAATTTTCACTCCTCAGTCATCATGGAGTCCCAGACTGGTTTTGGCTGGGAGGGACTTTAACGATGAGCCAGTTCCACCCCCTGCCATGGGCAGGGTCACCTTCCACTAGCCCAGGTTGCTCCAAGCCCCGTCCAACCTGGCCTTGGACATCCCCAGGGGTGGGGCAGCCACAGCTGCTCTGGGCAACCTCTGCCAGGGCCTCACCACCCTCACAGCCAAGAATTTTCTCCCAGTATCCCACCTAAACCTGCTCTGTACCAACACATGGCCTGTTCCAGCCATGGACTGATGTTCTCTCAGCTTTTGTCCAGAGTTTAAGGAGCTGGAGGACAGTGGGAAGGGATGTATCGACCAAAGGACCTTTGACAAAGACAAAACCTAAATGTGATTTGGCAAAAAGAAAAGTGGAAAAGCCGTTTTCTGAGAGTCAGACAACCCACTCTGGGGAAACAAAGGCTCTCACAGACATATTGGCTCCAAGCTCAGTAAAACCAGGTAAGCCACTGTCAGGTGCTGCATCAGTGGGAAAACCCTCTGTCCCTGTACCAGCAACATTCCTACAGTCTCCTTCACACAAAAAATTTATATTTCTGGGAGATGAGCCCCTTAACAAGCATTTGTACCATTGTCACCATGCAGCAAAGCTTTGGAAGCATCTCCCTTATGGAATTTGGATGTGTTTTTGCCACAAGCTCATTCCCATTAATACTGGGGCTTTTTGAGACAGCAGCATGTCCGTAAGGCACTGGAATTGTTTTCATAAGGATATATTAGACTAGAAATCAGTTTTCTATAAAAATGAATGTTTGCACACGCAGTTAAAACTCCAGTTAAATACCTCTGGAGATTAGAGCAGATTTCCATGTGTGCACACGTTTAAACCTGGAATTAACACCACAGGAGAAAGTAAGGAGAGCCTGACCTACCTGAACCTTAGTTTTCATTGCTGTCTTATCATAAAATAAATGGACTGTTTAATCTGAGGAGCTTTTCTAACTTGTGTGGGTGAGTTCTGAGCCCAGGACAGAAGCAGTGCACACACAGAAAGGGGAGGGTTCTTTCAGCTCTTTCAAGAACAATCTAGAACTAAAAGAAAGGTTACTTACCAGTAACCGATGTCTTTGAGAAGTGTAGCCCAAATGTACATTCTAACAATTCTACCTCTCAATCACAGGGCTCAGACCTGGAAGGACTCTGAGGAGAGAGGAGAAGCAGATGGAAGACAGGTGTGTATGTGGACTACACATGGTGAGAACACCGGTTACTGGTAAGTCACACAGCTCTTTTCTCTGCATGAATCCCACGGGTACCCTGAGCCTCCCAGGGACTCAGCACTGCTGGAGCTTTCACACCAGCAGCACCTGCACAACCACTTCGTCAAACTTCTCAGTTCTCCTGGACTAGAGTGTGCCTGGCAAAGGCAAGGATGGATCCCAAAGAGTCTGGACTCAAACCTGTCCTGACTGACCACAGAGTGTGAAGCCATCTGAGCTGGCCAGCTGTACTCCAGCCCTCCTGAGACTCCACCTCAGCAATCAGGGTCCAACCCATCATGGCCCATCAGAGCCAACCGAATCCTGCACTTTCCAGAGCCTGTGGGAGGTTGGAAAGGTTTGGACCTGTAAAGATAAAAGGAGAGAGGACTCCCAGCTATGGAGATGAGAAGTTTGGATATCACTGGCATGGGAAAGGAAAGCTGGAGCCTATTTCCCTAGTGAAAGGGGAATTCTAATATGCATATTTGAAGGAAGTTCTGAAACTAAAACAGCTTCTGGTCACTTAAGATGAGCAAGGTCCATCTTACAGCGCTGAGGAGAAGACACAAAACAGAGTGAAAGTCTGCAGTACCTGAAACCACAGAACCAAACACTGACCCTTCTGTGTGCAAAATGTGTCACCTTGCAAGAAATGTGAGGTTCCCATTAGCCTGGGGGGCAAAAAGATCTGTTTCAGGTTTGCCTCCTTCCTCAAAGACATCCAATCAGGATTTTAGACCAGATCTAAAATGTTCCGGACTATCACACCCAGACAAGCTCCAGGGACACAAGGGAGGGAAAGCTCCTCTATCCATGGCTCCATGTGTGCATGGCCATTCCAGGAGCAGACTGCAGATCTTCCATGCACTCTGGCATCCTGTATCTACACCCCTCAAGGCAGACTGCACCCCCATGCCATGAGGAATATGGTGGCCAGAAGGAACATTTTTCATGGCAAAAGGGCATCTCTATAAGCATGTGAGTAGCCCAGTTCCCACCAGAGTCAATGGGATAAAGGCAGTGATGTCAGAGGTTAATGGATACATAAGTGCCCCATTTACAGTCACCACTGTAAGCACCAAACGTGAAATTTGGCATGTGGCAAAGGACAAGGAGATGGCCCTGACATATCACTCCCTGGGATGAACTTGCAGTAGGCAGATCCCCAGTGGAAGTTGCTGTTCCATCTGTAAAACTCCACCTCCATGGTGATGGATCCATCATATGAACTAACAGTCACAGGGACAGTCTGTTCCCTTAGCAAGGAAGCAACGTGCTAGGATGCACGAGCAACGGGACATTGCCAGGATGGACGTGGAACACCTCTGGTGTCAGGAGAGAAAGTCACAAAGGGCTGACCAGTTAATTCTCATGGAATATGTACAATCTATCCTTGCTTGTTATAAACCACAGGGAGTGACAGCTTCTCCTCACAAGATTTATGCATCAGCAGTGGTTGGGTGAAGGGTCCCTCTTAGAGGGGCCCAGGGTTCAGAAGGCCCCATAACAGGCTGAGAGGGAAGAGGCTGATGCACATCCCAGGATCCAGGAGCCCATCGCAACAGGATGAAGCTCAGGAGGCTCCAGAATCACCCATCTGCTCTGCCTGTGTGTGTCTCTGTCTCTTCTTCCAATGGCTTGAAGGGGTACCCAGGAAAAGAGCTGGTGTGCTCTACCTCCTGTGAGATCTGGGAAGAGCAGAGAGGCAAAACTGCTGTGGGAACATGGGAAGGCTCCCAGAAGGAAGCAGAGCCTAGGCACCCTTCTCTTAAGCAGGTACATGTGGACCCATTCAAAGAAAGAACAGACATTCCATGGATGTTAATGAAAATGGGACAACAGGAAAGTTAAATATATCATTAAAAACTCCAGCATTAAGAAGGAATCTGAACTTTGTCCAAGCTCTTTGGTGCCAAAATGTGGAAAGTTTTTAAAAAAGTTTCATTGCAGTGGAAAGTTCCATGGCACAAGAATTATCACATCTCAGCAGAGCAACACTGAACCTCAGCCAGAGCTTACAGCAAGGAAGGAGGAAAGATTTACTGCCCAAACCACTCCAGAAAATTACATGAGACAATTCAACCAGGTTTAAAGAAAATTCAGCTGAGTTTAAAGGTTGAAGGTCTCTGGTTAGGGTCAGTTCCCACCTCTCCCAGTCCAGACCCCACTCTCCCAGTGGTCCCACAATGCTCACAGCTCACTGCACAGCTTTCCAGGAGGACTGGAGAAAATAGCTTACCACCACCACATCCCCCTGCAGGAGAGTGGGAAGGACAGCAGCACGTCCCATCCCAAGGGACATCCCATCACTGGGATGCTGGTCCCATAATTACCTTCCTTCCCAGTGGAAATCCCAATAGTCTCCCAGCTGGGCAGCTGGGGAAAAGGAATTGGGTCAGGACAGCTGTTTGGTGGGATCCAGCTGCTGGGTCAGCCTAGCTGGGAAGCCCTGTCTGCTCCCACCCCCTCCCAGCCATGAACTGCCCTTCCCTGTCTCACCTCAGCACTCACAGTCCCTCACCACACTGAAGTGGTGGGACTGAAACCAGCAGATGACTTGGCTGAAAAGTCACTGGGGAAAAAAATGGAAAACAAAACCCAAATAAACCCCACTGGTTTCCTGCCCCTCACCTCAGACTCACGGCACAGTCACAGGTTGGAAAAGGGGCAGTGACCCAGCTCAGAATGGTTTCATGTGCCACGGAAGGCTTCTGTACCCTGAATTCCCAAGTGCCCTGGACTAGGGTTGTCCTCTTGTCTCCCCACTCCTGTGTCCACCTATGCCCCCTCCCAGGTGCCACCACAGCTGCTGGGCAGGAACCAGACATGGAAAGGTCCATCTGAAAATTCCCTGTATTTGAGATGGGCTGCATTCACCTGTATCACTTATGGATCCAGGATCACAGATATTTGGACAAAACCACAGCAGGACAGGACAGGGCACGTGGGTGCAGGGACAGGATGGGAAGCCAGCCTGCCTTTGTGGCAGGAATGGCAGCTGGAGTGGTTTGGAAATGTTGTTTCAGACTCTGTCTGTACAGATAAAGGCACAAACACACACTGCTGCCACCAATATACTGATGGGGGAGCACCCCTGTCCCCAGGAAAGCACTGGAGTCTGGAACTCAAAATCAAGAGACCCACCATTTGATCATAGAGTTATAGATTCATGGAACTGTTTAAGTTGGAAAAGCCCTCTGAGACCATCAAGTCCAACCATTCCCCAGCACTGTCAAGGCCACCACTAACTCACGTCCCCAAGTGCCACATCCACACAGCTTTTAAATTCCTCCATGGATGGGGACTCCACCAGTGCCAGGGCCCAACAACCTCCTCCACAAGGAATTTTCCCTAATATCCAACCTAAACCTCCCCTGGTGCCACCTGAAAGCATTTCCTGATTCTGGGATTTGGACAGTCACAACATAAACTAGGCTCAAGTTTAACTTCCCATTCTGGTCCAGCCATGATAGATTTTATGACCTAAATTGCAATGCAGAAAAGAATCAAACTGAATTAAACAAGTACTTTTAAACAAACATATTAAAGGGGTTCTACATTACTTCATTTTATGGTTTATATTTTATGTTCAGCTTTAATCTCAACAATGAAACTGCTGACAGCAAATCAGACACAGGGGTGGGAAGTCCTTCTCCTAATTTTTACTGAGTGTGGAGGGTAATTATTGGAGAGAAAATGGAATTCACCCCCCCATAGGTGGCACTATCCAGCAAACCTGAAAATTACCACATTCTTGGCACACCCACATGGATAAAGCTCAAGGAAATTCAGTCTTTGACAGCACAGGTATCAAGAAAGGCTCAGTTTAAGCATTTTGTTTCTCATCTAAGCACAGTCATGTGCATAAGAACACAAGAATCTGGGTTTATTGACAAAAAAAAAAGTCTACTGAAGGAAATGAAAAATGTTCCTTGGATTTCAGTGAAGGCAGGATAACAAACTCCTGTGCTTGCACTTCACGTTCCCTATAGATCAGCTTTTTCATCATTAAATATTACAAACCTATATAAGCCAAATATCCCATTTTGTGCATGGAAACAGCAGGGCATAAAGGAAGCAAATGGGTTTTAACCTATTAAAACACACCAAGACCCAGATCTTGGCCCCAATCAACGTCTTCTTTGGTATCAGTAGAAGTAAGACCAAACCATAAAGATAAAAAAAAAAAACCAACAAGAGTCTTTCCTTATATTTTAAATAAAATAAATAATAACCATATTATTTTTAATATAATTCTAAATAGATTGTTTTATAATATATCTTTTATATAAATGTATTTTTTAAAAATACTTGAAAATTGGAGTTTAATTTTTTTTTTTTTATAAATGCTTAAATTGGTTAAGGAAATGATGTGAACCGTACCTGTTATCGCTCAGGTTTAACACTCTCAGCTTCTGCATCTGCCCAATTTCATCGGGAAGAAATTCCAGCTTGTTGGAGCGCAGAGACATCACCGTAACGTTTTTACAGCTTCCAATCTGGGGAATGAAAAAGCCAAAGGTGATGGAATCCTGCCTCTGGTAACATTTATTATCACTCACTTTTCATGGCAGGAGGTGGCTGAATTGGGTTTTTGCTGGAAGTGACAAAGAGCAGAAAATACAGAATTTAATCAGAAAGTAACACCCTCAGGGTTCCTGGGGTTACTCACTCTGCTCTTCACATGGATATTCCAAATTTAACAGGAATTTATTAATTTACTGCTCAGTTTTACTACTGAGTACATAAGAAAGGTTTGGTCTCCCACTTCATCCCACAAACAATTGCTTTAACAGATAATTTTTCTGGGCAAGGATGAAATCTTGGGCTCCCACAAAACATTTCAGTCTATAATTCCAAAGCCTCTCACTTCTCTGGGCAGCTCCGGGAGGAAATTCTCATCCACAGCCAAGGTCCTCAGGTTGTGGAGGTACCCGATGGTGGAGGGCAGGGACTCCAACTCATTGCAGCTGCAGTCAAATTCTTCTAACAAAGACAAACTGGAATTGTAAATACACTCGTTAGCAGCCATGCAAGGGGTGGAGAACCACAGTTAACAACCTACAACCTCTGGGAGTTCTACATAACTACAGACACAGCCTTGGGAAGAAATTTTAGAGCCGATTTCCTCCACTATCCCAGGTTGCTCCAAACCCCATCCAACCTGGCCTTGGACACTTCCAGGGATGGGGCAGCCACAGCTTCTCTGGGCAACCTGTGCCAGGGCCTCACCACCCTCACAGGGAAGAATTTCTCCCCATTATCCCATCTAACCCTGCCCTCTGCCAGTGGGAAGCCATTCTGCCATGTTCTACCACTCCATTCCCTTGTAAATGCTGGGAATACAAGTTTTAATTTGTCATTTGCAGCATCTGGTACAGACAGATGTGGCACAGACTGGACACAAAACTCTCCTCTAACAGAACACATTGCACCCCTCCGTGCTGACTTCCCTCCTGGCACCTTCCCACCCACATAGGTCATTCCCTCAGGTGCTGCAGAGAACATCTCCAGCCTTTGGCTCTAATTTAGTGATTTAATCAGTGGGAATCACTGATTTTGTGTGGATTGTTTTATTAAGATGGATCTACTGTGCAGGGCCACACTCTGAATGCCACCACAGACTTGTCCTTTGAACAAGAGCTCCAAAGATGAGGGTGGTGGTTCCCCACCAGCACCAAAGGTGAAATGTTCTCTGTCTCATGGAGAAATTGGTCCCTTGAGGGATCATTCCCTCCTCCACATTGTTAATCCCTGTGTGACAGTAACAGGCTCTGTGGTAGGTACTGCCACCAGTATTTAGGAGAAAGAGACTCAGTAGAAAACTATCCAAAGGGATGAGTCACAGAAAGCCAAGTTCATTTTGATGTGGGAGACACCGTCCTCGTTAGAGAGGGAGCACTTCATTGAAAAAGCATAACCAGTCACTCTAAAATAACACATAATATCCGATGATCAGCCTCTGCTCTGCATTCCCACCTCAGAGCAGCAGTTGCTGCTTATTATTTAAAAAAATAATTAAGGTTCCAAGACAAACAATACTGAACAGACATTAGGTTAAAAAATGGGGGTTCCTTCAATTTGAGCAATTCAGCAAAAAGAAAAGTTTTAGAAGGTTTCAGAAACTGACCCCCAAAACTGCTAAAGCTGAATAGTAGATCAACCTTTCTGCAGCATCCAGTAGAGCTTTGAGCCTTATGAGCTTTCACTGCTCATCAGAATTTACTGCCACACAATGACTTGAGCAGCAAAGATTTGTCCTTTAGTGATTCACATCACCAATTTTTAATACTCTTCATTATCCCATAAATCTGGAGACATTACAAAAACTACAGAAGAGTGAGCCAACCTGGGCTGTCAGTGGCTGCAGCTGAAATAGTTCACAAATTTGGATTATTTTTCCCAAATGGCACAACAGTTATTACTGAAATAGCCAGGTTGGATGGGGCTTCGAGAAAACTGGTCTGGTGGAAGGTGTCCCTGCCCATGACAGAGGGTGGAACTGGATGAGCTTTAAGGTCCCTCCAACCCAAACCAGCCTGGGATTCTATGAACTGGCTCCTACAGAAGGTGTGCAGCACAGTTGGCCTCCTGATGTCCAACCTGAACCTCCCTCAGCACAGCTCTGTCTCTGCTGCATCAACACTGGTGCCCTGGGGAGGATGGAGACTCTGGTGCCACACCTGCAGAAGGCAGCCATGGACAAGGAACTCTGATTTTTTTTCCAAATGCCAGTTTATATAGAATTTCAGAAGTAAAATATGTAGAGGAGGAGGCACCCTACAAAAATGCCAATGCTAAAGATATGTTCTGCTGGAAGGAACATGCAGTGGGAACCTATACAAAGGATCCCCTGATTCCATCCTTAGGAACACAGGCATCACCCCAAATTTGACAATAAATGGCAGATTTTGGTGGGCAAAGAGCTCCAGACCCTCAGCAGAATAAGCCAGGGATCGTGTCCTACCCAACCCCACGAGAGCCAAAGGGAACCATTAGTGCTTCTCCTAATCAATTAACGATGGGATCCTGCCCCATTCCCAGGAAATACTTGGATCCTGCCCCATTCCCATGAAATTTTCATGGCTGTTCCATTGGGACCACTGGAATATTTTAAGAAATCTCCACATGAACAAGGGTTGCAGCGTCTCCTTCCCACACCAGGCTCAGGCCGTTGCCATGGGAACAGACATATTTTCCCCCAAATATTCCCATTTTTTCTACTTTTGCTGCTCTAATCATCTAAATTGTGAGCGATTCACACAAAAAAGTAGCTTTTTTCTTGGAAAATTCAATATATTTTGCTTTTTTATCTCTCACACTAGTATAAACTCACAGAAGTAATAGTGGTACTCCAAATTTCAATGTTTTAAACTGGGTGTTAGGCAGCATTTTAAAATTATTTGATAATTTATTTATAAAATTTGAATTATTTTATAATTAAGGATATCTTTGTCTTATTTTATATTAAAAAAAAAAGAAGGGAAAAAAGCAGAAGGGAAAAACACATTTTACATAATGTTGAAAATCACAATAATCTCATACTCACTTTCCAATGGCATTGGGCAGAATTGTGAGCTGGTTGTCATCTACTTTCAGAGTTGTCAGTCTCTTCAACAGCCCTAGAGAGCAGATGGGGAAGAAATAATAGAAAAATATTTGACATTAATATTTTCTATAATCTCCCGTGTGCTAAAAATCCAAGGATTTCTAACACTGAGTAACTCAGGTCTGGATTTTAGAGAATATCTGTGTATAGGATATGTTCTTTTAATCAAAATAAAGTCCTGATTAAATGTTGACTGAACTGCAAGAGAAATATTAAGTGTATTTCTGTGGCCTTGAAAAATACTGTAAAAATAGATAATAATATAAATATTAATATTAATAAAGAATAATATCTTCATAAAAATAAAAAGCAATAAAAATGATAGTGTCTTATCTATGCAGTAAGAGTAGATTTCTAATTATCTATTAATGTATTAACAGATAATTTTCTTTATTAATGATTTTTTTCTTTATTACTTAATCAAATGCTGATTGAACTGTTTAACAGTTCAAAGGGAAGCTGAAAAGAAAATATGAGGGATCAAGACTGAAATGAAAGATCCAGATGTGCCTACAAGCACTCAGCTTCCAGAATTTCTATATATCCTAAAAAAATCTGAAGTTCTATGCATTAAAAATAGTCAAAAAAAGAAAATTAGTAGTTTGAACTATTTCCTTTTTATTTCCTTTTTACTGCTGTAACTCAGAGCAGCAATTTCCCCCCCATCACTCTCATACTTACTTTCAAATTCAGATCACTTACAGCCTTCTTCGCTTATTTTCCTTAAAATAGCAAACCAGAATAATCAATACTTTCTAGCCAGGGATTTTTATTCCTGACTTTACCAAATGGTCTTTAGGGACTCTCCCCACACAGATGCTTGTGCCTCCTTTGGGATTTAATGTCAGTTCTTGGGCCATGATTATGAAGTCTTATAATTACCAAAAAAAATACATATCAAATCAAATTTTCAGCTGGAAAAGGTTCCAAGAATCCCTGAGCTTTTCTCACCGATGGAGTCTGGCAGCTGCTGCAGCATGTTGGATGACAACAGGAGATCCTCAAGCCCTTCACATCCCGAGATGTCCAAATCCACCGTTTCTATCCTGTTTTTGGACACATCCAGGTACACGAGCTGTTTTAACTTCCCTATAGACTTAATAGCATGTGAGAAAGAGTTACTTGGGCAGACACACACCAGTTGCTAATTTAATTAGAGACAAACGAGAGTGATACAGGTTCTGTTTAATCATCTCAGCTTTTACAAGGCAGGACCAAGGTGGGCTCAGCCTCCCCTTCGGGAGCTGCACCAAACTAAACACCCCAAACTAATGAAGGTGCTCCAGATTCATTAAATATGATGCATATTTGAGTTCCTGATCATACAGTTGTATTATTTCTCCATCTGGACACGGATCCAAGGGATATTCACTCAAAATTCCCATCTGATGGAAGCCCCACCAAGGAAGTCAAGCTTTTCCATGTTGAACATTTAGACATAATCACATAACTTTTATTTCTAATTAATGTGCTTCAGATTCATTAGATCTGCTGAAAAACGGAGTTCCTGGTGATACAGTTGTATTATTTCTCCATTTGGGCACCAAAGGATATTCACTCAAAATGCTCATCTCATTTGCAGCCCCCCCCAAAGAGATGAAGATTTTCTGTGTTCAATATTTACACAGTATCAGGTAACTTTTATTTCTGGGTTATAATTAATGACTCTGTGAAGGAAGACTGTGCCCCCATGCAAGAAAATGCACATTTACTGCCAGGTAAATAAGTCACTACATAACACAATAATTCAATTACAAAGAATAGATGTCCATACCCCAGGTAGCACTTGCAAAGAATTATTGTCCATCCACAGTTCCTTTAGATTCTGAATTTGTTCAAGAACCTCAGGCTGAGGGAAAAATATATAATTAAGGACAGTTACATATAGCAGTGGCTTTTAGTTAAAAATAAATCAATATTTGGTGTAAAAAAAAAAGATTCTCTCTTCACCTTCCTTTATTTTTTATAACCCATATCAGCCTTTCAGATATTTAATGACAGGAACAGCTCACTCCATTTAATTTAACCACTGGTGCTCTTTTGCAAAACTTGTAAAATACAAGAATGCTTTGGAAAAGAACTGAATCCAAGGGGAACTTGCTGGAAGAGTTGATGTCTGCAGCTGTCACACTCAGGAGTTACAGTCATGGTGTGCCTTAAAATCGCAATATTAAATTTAATCTGTTTTACTCTTTTCAAAACTACAAGATCTTAGTGAGAGAAGCTGAAACAGGCAATTCCCAAGATCATTTCTGACTCTTTAGAGCTGGGAAAATCAGGAATTACCAGTTCCCAAATACTCCCAGCTTTCAGCCTAAGCAGTGTCTTCCTTTCCAATGAAACACTTATCACAGCAAAGCAGGACTTGCAACTTGCTTTCCCTTGTTAAGGTGTAGAGATTTTTTTAAGACCAGAAACTGGTATTAAATATTCCATTTTGTCCTGACTAAAGCAGGTTCAAGCATTTTAAAGGCCTGTGGTACAACTGCCCTGGAATTAACCCAACACAGCCAGAACAAATACCTCTGCCCAGCACACCAGACCTTAAGAGAGACCTCTAATTATCCCACGTGGTCTGAGTGTTTTGGAGTGTTGTCATTCCCATAAGAAATGTGATTTTTCACTTTTCCAGGCAGGACAAGTGCCTGATGCCTCATCAGGTAACAATAAACCTGCTCAGCAGCAGAGCTCAATCCCTTGGTTTTCCATGTTGCCACATGATGTGTTTCCATTAAAAAACTATTAGTTAACACCTTAAAGATTATTTATTTTGCCTCTGCTAATTCTATTGAAATTCTGTTGTGCTTCTATGATTAAACCCATTTCTCATTTCCAGGCTAAACTGATTAATGGTTTTTTTATACTATTTGTTCCTGTGCTGATTAATGTTTCTTTATTCCTCCTGAGTGTTCACTAACTCAGGTCATTATGGATAATCATAATTTCCCCTCTCAACTTATATTTGCTTTTAAATTCCTCTCATTAACAGACACCTTTCTCAGAGGGAACAGCCTATTCCTGTGCTGGACACAGCACAGTTTGAGGTGAAATTCCTTGAGTATGGATTATAATTTACCATTATTATGGAATTTATGGTATGCCCTGGATTATGGCACTTTATGGTTCACCAGGACCCAGATGAGATCTCACTGATGTTTGGATATTAAAAACTTATTTGTCTCTGTTAGAAATGCTTCAGTTGATGTCTTTTTGCAGAATATTTTCATTTTCAATATAGATTGCCACAACTGGAATAGAGTAGAGGAGAGTGGGAATAGGAATGGAATGGAAGGGCCTTAATAAAATCAGCTGGAATGACCATCCAGTCCTGACCAATTCAGTCTGACCAAAACTTTAATAAGGAAATCCTCCAAATGCCCCTTAATCCCTGCCAGGCTTGGGGCACTCAACCCCCTCTCCAGGAATCCTGTTACACGCTCTGACCACTCTCTTGGTAGAGAAATGCTTCCCAGGATCAAGTCTGAATTAAAGACTGACATTAATCTTCAATTAAAAATATATTACATTTTTCCCTCTTACATTTTCCTTTTCTCCCTACCTTTCCCTGTTTCCTTTCCAGCTGTCATTGCTGCTCATCATCTGCCTGGTGCCAGTTTTTGACCCTTCAAATGTCAAAAAAAGGGTCAAAACCCCCCTGAGATGTCAAACCCATGTCCCATTCCTTGGGATTTACAGCTCCCAGAGCCCCAGGACATGAGTTGCCTCTTCCTCCCTTGATTACATGAAGTCACCTGGATACAGCTGCTCTTTAGGAAGTGACAGTTTCTATTCCAGGAACCCCATGATTTGTGTCATCTTGTTTCCAGCAAAATGAATGAACAGAATTACTTCAGTTTTGAAGTTAACCCTGTGCCTGTGGCTACAGTTTGGCTGCTCAGGTTCTTCCAGGGCAAAACAGTCCCAAGATGCCAAATAAACTAATCTCTCCCACACCACCACAGCTCCAGGGAACACTTTTCTCGAAAAAAATTGAAGTTTCTATTGAAACCCAAATCAGATTTTCAGAATCCATGAAAACAGGACCTTTTTATCCTTTTGTTCACAGGTTTGATTTAAAGTAGTATGACTTTTCCTATGGCATTCCTGCCACGGTGAGATCACAGAACTACAGAGTGGTTTGTGCAGGGAGGGACCTTAATGATCATCCTGTCCCACCCCCTGCCATGGGCAGGGACACCTTCCACCACCTCAGGTTGCTCCAAGCCCTGTCCAACCTGGCCTTGGACACTTCCAGGGATGGGGCAGCCACAGCTTCTCTAAAAACTGCTAATAGCAATTTCTAATAATTGGTAACAGCTATTTCTATTGTTTGATATAAGATATCAATAAGATACAATGATAGATATTAAGAAATTAATACATAATTGATGCAATAATTTGTGTAGAGATCTTCAATTCATGCCCCAGTGAAGTTTCCCAGGAGTAACAATCTGCTCGGAGGGAGAATCCTCTGTGACCTTGACCTGAACTGCAGAAGCCTGATGGAAATGAAGCATATTCTGACATCAACATTCACCTCAGGAACCTTCTGTTCCACAAGGAAACGTGTCCCTTGCCCGTGGCCACAATCCATCAAAGCCTTTCCAGTGAAAGTTCAATGCCCCACCCACAGAGCATCCAAACCCCACAGGTTTTCTCTTCAAAAATGCTGTTTCTTACCAGTTCAGAGAATTCATTATTGCCCAGATCAAGTCTCTCCAGCTGAGTCAGTTTGTGCATTGACCTGTAAGAGATTAGGAAACACCTAAAATAAAGATTTTAACTTGCAAAAGGTCAGTCAAATCTTGTTTGGATAAAAATAAAGCTGCAATGATACTGTTCTGGTAAAAAGAATTACACCAATGTGATGCTGCTGATGAAAATTTGAATAATATTTCCATCATTGAACTAAAAAGCAACAGTTATTTCAGTGCAAAAATAAATAGAATCTTGGTAGAATTTTATATAGCTTTTCAAGGAAAATGACCCATGTTAAATTTATAACTGATTTAAATGAACTACAATATAAAAAGTGGCTTTTTGAGGCAGATGTATACATCTGTGATCAACTTCTTTATAACTAAAGAGTGGTTTGGCTCTTCATGGCCTAAGCTAGGCCCTCAACTGCTCTGAGGTTCAAATTTAATGGAGTTCAAAGAAAATAAATCAATCACTGCCTTTGTTTCCATGGACAAAACTGGGACAGGGTTTTACCACTAGAGCAGAATTTCTCTTTTAAGCCCTGGTGGACCAAAGTGGTCTAAACCTCACACTGGGTTTGGTAAAAATAGAGGATAAAAATAATTAATTAAGTCATTTAGCATTAACTGCAACAGGCAGTTCAGGGGCCTTCTAAGGTAATCAGCTCCTAATCAAAAAATTAGCATAGTCTGAATTGCTGTGCTCTAAAATATCAACCATTTCATCTCTGCAATTTGCACCAGAGGTAAAAATGATGATCAAAGATGCTGGGACTGGAAACCAGAGCCCGGTTTTAGCATTTAAATGATGGCAAAATGAGGCTGTGCTGGGGCTGCACAGGAGCTCTGCTGCATATCTATGGCAAGGAAGCTTCATTTTTAGTATGTTAAAACAGGGAAATAAACTCCACAGAAATGGAAAGGCCAGTCTGCAGGAGGAGAGGGAAGCAAGTCTTTGAAACACAACAAATATGGAATTTTTGCTGATCACTGGGTGGTTTGGAAACATCCAGAAACAGGCCCAGTTTTATTTCAGCACCCTTTCATCTTTCTGCCCCAACACCCACCCTGACACACATTAATTTGCTGCTTAATGCTGATACTTCCCCTGTTCCACACTCAGTTCACTGATGGTTTAATTTTTCTTTTTCCTCTCCCACTCTTTTCCAATGTATTTCCCAACCTGTTTGATCAATGCATAAACTAACATTGATGTGGGGGCAGATTAATTTCCATTAGTTGGGGTTCCATCAAAAGATGAAGCACTGCCAAGGTCTCCAATGGACTATTAGCTGAGATTTTCCGTCAGCTGCTGCTATTTTTAGGTCTTCCATGTAATTACTTTTATTTTTCTTAGGGAAAGCTTCATTATATTTTTTATGTGGGGTCATTTTATAAAGGTGGATAAGGAAAGGAGCAATTATGAGTAATGCTCAGTTAAATATTCATGATTTAAATGATGTAATGGAATGGAATTAATGTGCTGATAAAACTGACCAAAGATTTCCCATAAATCTTTACCGGTATCACATTTGTAGCTATTTTTCCATTCATAAGTAGCTCCACTCAGGACTCATATAGAGAAGATCTTATTTCTGGCTCTTAGGATGGAAGTCCCATTAGGTTCAGAATAAGGTGAATATTTAAATTATTTTTAAACACAATATTGGAGTGTGTTAAAAAACCACAAAGGCATGGAAAACCAGCACAGAAACTAAGTATACTTAGTGAAAAATTATCATTGCTCACAATAGTTCTAAACCATAAACTATAACTCCTATGATACAATTCAGGGGTATTAATTACAATTCTCGGTAATCACCTAAATTGCCTAATTTAACTTTCTTGCATGTTTGGTTTTGCTGCCTCATTTAGAAAATACTTATTTACACATTTTAAACACTTTAAATATTCAGGAAAATGTCTCAGTTTAGACTTTCTGGCAAAACAAAGAACTTATTTTAATGGAATCGTGGGATTCTCCTCAAAATCCTGGTCATTCCTCACTGGAAACCTTAAACTACAAATTTCTGATCACATTCAAGTTACTTCCATGTGTGAAGAAAAGTATTCAAAACCGACCAAAGGACTCCTAATAGGTAAAACTTCATGAGTCAGAGACATGATTGGATTTACACAGCAAAAAATGTCATTTATACAATGGAAGAGGCAACATCAAGCAGGAGTTTCTGCTACAGAGCTGGGACTGAGGAGGTTCTAAGGGTCACACAGATTATTTCCTTGGGCAGCAACTCACAGAATTCCTTTTCTATTCCAGTTTATGACATTATTTTCTGAAGAAATAAAAAGTAAACGAGGCAAATCCATTGCCAGTGCTGGATTAACTGCTGTGCTCACCTGAAATAATATTTTATCACATTTTTGTTGTCCACAAAAACCTTTATTCCCAAGTGGCTGGAATAGAAGAGCCTCTTAGTTGTAGTATTTTAAACCTTGCAATGTAACTTTAAATTCATCAATGAATTGGTTTGGAAATACTTTGTAAAATTAATAATTTACCTGTTGCAGAGGAGTTAAATCTTAGCTAGGGCTAAAGCATCACATGATCACAAAGAGCTGTTTATACATCATGCAACAGATCAAAAAAACTCTCAGTTTTCAGTGAATCTCAATTTATATAATTTATAGAATATAAAGCAAGTATGGTATAAAGCTAAGGACCAAGGGTATAAATTAATCTGTCATGAAGTATTGAATCTATTATCCAGCCTTCAAAATAACAGAGTGAATTTAAAAGCTGATTTTGAGGATACAAGAGCATAGACTAAAATACCCAAGAGAGAAAATATCTAAAATAATAAAATCATGAAATAGTTAAAGTTGGAAAAGACCTTTAAGATCATCAAGTCTAACCATCAAGCAGCCCCACTACCATGTTCATCACTAACCATGTCCTCAAGTGCCACATCCATCCATGTTTTGAATCCTTCCAGGGACGGGGACTCCATCAGGTTATTAAATCAATATAAAACGACTTGGGTCATTTTACAGGACTTGGTATCTGTGTCCCCACTGTCCTGAAGACTGAGAAAAAGCAGCCCAAGGTGCCCATTCTAAAAGCAGACTAAAAATAATTGATGTTTCATCAGGATATACAATATATAATTAATATTTCTAAGGAATTCCACACATGCTTTACGCTCTTATGGGCTCGTCTTGCATGGAATGAACAAACATAAAGGGAGACTGAAAATGCAGTTTTAGCCCTGTTTTCCCATTTTCTTTGCCAGAGAGCAGGAAGAAGATCTAATTTAAGGTGCTGAATAATTAACAGGGATAAGCCAAGCTGAAACAGTGTTAAGGAATATCTGATGATTAAAAGTTGACTGAAACAGCCAAGCCAAAAAAACAAGAGTTAAAGAATTCTCCTCTCAGCACAGGTTCCTTATTTCACAGTCCTTTTGATTCCTCTTTCTGCTGAAACATGGCCTGAAGGCAGTGTGAACATACATCACACCCAGGGTTATTTCTAAAGAAAAAGCCAGAGAGATAAATGGGGATGTGTTAGAAAAGACAAGGAGGAATCTGAGATGAAAAATGTCCTGACTCAGTAACTATCTGCATCTTAATTGAGGAAGTGCGATGGGAGTGGTCGGAGATGGCAAAGAGCACTTCAGAGTGACAGAGCAGAAATATCTGCACAAGGATGGCTGATTTCTTCTTCAGGAGAAGTTCAGATTACAAGATGTGGAGGATCATCAGGGACAGGTTATCCAGGAGAACTGCTCTACCACACCATCAACAAGGATTCCATGACTTCTATTGGAGACGTGGCTTGGGAAGAGAAAAAACAAACAACTGCAGGGCCACAGTGTGATCTTCTGATCAGAGACCTGTTCCAGGCAGGCAGGGGGATGATGATGAATTAGGAAATATCACAAATACGGGCAAGACTTGTTTCACAACCCAACACCAGGAAGGAACATCAACATGGAGCTTGTGAGCTTTAATGGGACGGAAATGGGACAAACATGGTAAAGGTCTAAAATATGGCAACAAAGCATAAATGCTGAAAATAACTAGTGAATATAATCTACCCATGTATTTCAATAGGAAAAGCAAAGATTACTGGTTCATAAAAGAACTCACTGAGTAGGAAAATGCAATTGTGATGAGGAACTAATGATCACTGGCATTTACTCAGACACACGTAACACTCAGTTTTTCAGAAGCAATCATCCAGCAGGGTTTGGATGTGGAAGAATAAAGGCAGTTGAGAGTCATCAAGTTTTGCATGATTGTTTTTATTTTCCTGACGACATCAATAAAAGCCTTCCAGTGTAGTAGGCAATTTTTCATGGCTCAAGGGAAAGGGCAGAACAAGGTGACCTGCTGCACCCCACGGAGCCCATCACCGGTTTAGGGCTCTCTGCTCGCTGACTTTAGGGACCTTCTGAGGGGCACCCTGCAAGAACTTCACAGCATCACAGTCACAGGATCTGCTGAGTTGGAAGGGAGTCACATGGATCATCGAGTCCAACCCTTAGTCCTGCACAGGACCAAGAGTCTCACCAGGTGCCCCAGAGGATCATCCAAACACTCCTTGAGCTCTGCCAGCCTTGGTGCTGTGACCACTGCCCTGGGGAGCCTGTTCAGTGCCCAACCACCCTGTGGGGAAGAGCCTTTTTCTAAGATCCAACCTAAACCTGCCCTGACACAACTTGAGGCCATTCCCCGGAGTCCTGTCCCTGGTCCCCACAGAGCAGAGATCAGTGCCTGCCCCTCCTCTCCCCCTCCCCAGGAAGTTGTGACTGCAATGAGGTCTCCCCTCAATCTCCCACCACAGAGGGACACAGGGCACACAGACACCAGCCGGGACAAAAAGAAGGTAAATCCATAGGTAAATCCACCCTGTTCCAAATGGCTCCCCTCAGCCACCTTCTCTCTATTGACTCCTCCTGCAGCTGGAATTGTGTGAAGGTGCTTTTACTCTGTAGATTTGGGTTTACTCAAATACAATGGAAATTATACACTTAAGGTGTTTTGAGTATAACAAGCCATTTCCTTGCACACCATAAACCAA